CGAGCATCGAGATCACCGGCGATAGCCAGGCGACGAGCCGGGAGCCGACGTGATAAATTCTCGAACGCGGCCTCTGCTCCTCTCCGGTCGATTCGTATTTTCGTGAAAATTCTGGTCCCCTTTCATCCGGGACGCGAGGACGGATCTGTCTCTCGTTCTTGGATTACAAACGATCGAGCACCTCAGCTCCTCTGGCCGCTTCGCCTCGTGTACACTCGTTACCGAACGAATACGATAAGATATGGAAGCAGCGAGAGATAATTGGTGCGTTGAACCTATTCAATTATTGTTCGTTTAACCTGATAAGTGGACAAGACGAGTTAACTCGTCGTTGGTCAGCTAATAATTCGAGGATGTTGGTTTCTTTATTAGGGGATTATGCATTTTTTTATTAGTATTTGCAAGAACCAGAAGGAAGTAATTGGTTGGAATTTTTACACACGTTTAATTGGGGACTGGAGAGATTCGATTTCTGTTTGAGAAGTGAACTCGGGTAATGGGTTCAAGGAGAGTACGAGAGAGATACTGAAATCGGTATAGCGAATTTCTATAACTCCCTGTGCCGCTAATCTTCGTTGCTTGGTAGTGTATGCTCAACGTTTTCTTCGACTTGAACAAATTTGACTAAATTTTAATAAATCTGCATTTGTAGCAGGAAATCCCAAGTAACTTAAATTCATTCGTTATTCAAGGCGTCACTCCCGAAATCTCTTCTACTTCCTCTCGCCATCAAATTTTCAATAAATGAATTTTACTTTTATTCAACAGTAACACCACTTTACCTACACTTTCCAAGGAAATTTCTGCGAATCCAACGTGAAAGACTGAACACTAATGATCCATCAACGGCGAGAACGAAAGCGGGACACTTTTAATAATCCAGCGCGACCACCAGCCGACCCAGAGAAAGATTATCGCGGCGAGACGATCGGTGCTCGGTGCTCCCGTAATTTGTGTTTTCGTTATTGCGTCCGATTCCTGTTCCCCGAAGGCACGGGGGGGGACCAACGACGGTATCTGGTGTCGCGGGAGCAGCCGAGAATGCGAGAAACCTCCACCGCGTGTGGAACAGGTTCTTCGTTTTCCGGGGGCAGATCGGTGTTCGCTTGTTACCGCGAACACAGCGAAGAACGAACGAGGAGAGGAAAGGAGGCAACGTGTGCTTGTACGCACACTATTTCAAACGGTACATCTGTAGAAGAGGTACACAAACACCGGCACGTACGCGCACTAATCGCATCGAGCGAACTTGTTGGAATTAATTGGTCCGGCCAATTAACGCTCACGGCCTGAAACGCGTCGAGGGCAATGAAGGCGCACGATTGGCCTGCTCCCCGCCACCCTTCGACGCTCGATATCCTTCGGCAGCCCGAGCCTCGCTTCCTGCGAAGCCCCTAATTAATTTCGACTCGCGGCCTTTAGGTTCGCAGAAAATTGCACGCCACCGTGTCGACTCTCGATAGAGAGAGAGTTTGATACCGATCGCGATCGGTTCGTTCGAACGTCCAGATAGACTTCCTCCCGGGGGGAAAAATGTATCGGTTAGATGAAGCCAGGCGTGTCTTGGAGGGATATTATTGAAATTATGGAATAATTGAGATACAATATCGAGAACGTCTTAATACCTTCCCTCTACCGTGTCGCCTCGTGTTGTACGAGTGAGAATGCTTCGCGATGTACCGTGTCACTTGTATACGAGTGACGGTCTTTCTTTTTCTTCGAAGCTGCGTTGCGAGTAGAGCTGTTACTTGAGAGATACCCGGGTTACTCGTGAAATACTCGGGTAATCAGAAGGTACCCGGGTATCTCACGAGATGATCTCTATTATTCCTCGACTGTTTCGGCAGAGGTTTCAAAAGAATATTGTGTAGGGTAGAGGTGCACTTTGACACGTCGGCATCGTTGCATCGCTATCGCGACCGATCCGCATTTGTTTGCCCGGGGAACCACCAGCGGTGGTTTTATGTACATATTCGAGTACTCGTGAGATATCTCAGAGCCCTAGTTGCGAGTACTTTGTGTGCTCGTACTTCTTGAGGATAACTGCAGTTTTTAATTTTGACGAATACGCCGTTCGTTCTACGTCGAGACTCGGGAAAAAGAACATAACGAATGCAAAACGTGCTGAATAGACTGAAGAAACTGGTAAAAATTGTCAGAGAAAATGATAAAAAGGTAATTTAGAGAAGAAGAAGAAGTGGCAGGGGTATTTTAAAAGTTTGCTTAAAATGGTGTGCTAAAAAATAAGCATCTCTAAAACGACTTATACTATCGGTAGAGAAGAAACTTAAAAAAAAAGAAATTCTACACGATTGTAGAATTTAATTTACGTATTGCAAAGTATTGCAAAAAATAAATTGAAAATCGAAAATCGGGACGACCACGAAAGACACAGAGAACGCTGTTTTCTTACTCCCCTCGGATAGGATAGAAAACGTTGCATCCCGAGATAACTCGATTATTACGGAACATATTGATTCATGTATGCGACACGAGGCAGCGAGCAAAAAGCGAATTTGAATCGGCCGGTAAAACAATGAAATAACGATGTAATCTTCGACAATGGATGGCATAACCGGGCCGTAGTCGCGCGTTGTCCGCTTGTTAGCGATGAAATATTACGTATGTACGGCAGCTGTCATCTTACTTGTCCTTTGACGGCATATTTATACCGGTTTCACCCTGTTCCGCGGCGCCCGATCGCCGATAACGGATGCCCCTCGCTAATGCGCCTCGCGACCGAGACGCTTTTACGCTCCTGAATTCGTTACACCACCGTCTAACGCTATTCTACACGCGATTCCCCTACCACCTATTTCTCCGACAGTTGTGATCGAATCACCGAACACTTGGACTGGGTAATTCGAATAACGAAATAAAGAGAGTCGTTCGTATCGAACAGCGAACCAAAAACCCCAATTTCTAAGAATAGAGTTCTCCTATCTTAAACGAACGATTTATTCTATGACGCAACGTACGGTATTCCATTGTTAAAAAGAGAGAGAGAAAAGAATTCTCTGACACGTGCGTGTGAGAGGTTAGAATAGCAGGCAATTCGAAAGAAAATTTTTTGCGTAAAAAGTTAACCGAACCGGAAAGCCTTGAAACTATATGGAAGCATAGAGGCTTATCGATCGACGTGTATCGAAATCCTTCGTGAATCTAACAGACTGTCTTTCGCGGTACATTTATGCCGGGTTCACACCGTGCATGACGTCCGATGGCCGATAAGAGGCGCGCGCGCTAATGCTCGCAATCAGGATCAGAAACGGGATCGGGGATCGGTAATCAGAATCGACGGTTCGCGTTCCCCAAGAGGCCATTACTCAAAGATCCGACACGCCGGGAAAATACGTGTCACGTGACCGATTAAACGCGCGTTACCGAAAGCTGCATTTCTCGTTAAATCTATCGCGATTAAAAGTTACGCGTTTCTGCGTGGAATTGCTACAGGTGTTTCTGAATAACTTAATCGTGTCGAATTGTGCCACTTCGTTCGTTGCTTTTGTATCGAGAAACGGCGAGAAAAGAATGAAATTCGTAATAACAGTTACACATAACCTCGAAAGTTGAGAAATTTAGAAATTCCAAAAGCGAAATAGACAAATAGAAATTTTGAATTTGCACGAAAGAACGATTAAAATAGAGAAAGAGGGAAAAGAATGAAGAAAAAAGGAGAAGGAACAAAGAACTGTTACGGTAGTGTCGGGTTTTCGATCGAGCCACGATCACCGTGGAAAAACACGAAGTGAGAAGAAGAAATGGCGGATCCGTTTAACAAGGTGCTTCGCCTACCGGATAATACATAAGGGGTATTAAAGCCGCTACTCAATTGGGTATGAGCTCACCGAGAGGTGGACGTCTCAATTTTCTTCGCGACTTAATGACCGATCGTTAAAACCCGGCTTCGCCTCGAACCGGCTCCACGCCGCACGAGGAACGGCCAAGATGAAACGAGACGAAGAATACCCAGCCCTCTCCACCGTCCCTTCTTTACCCACACCCTCACACGCACACCGGCGATTCTCGTCGTTCTAACGTAATCACGGGCTTTCTGTCGTAATGACGTTTGTAAGTATCGGAACCCTGTCGATTCCTCGTCACGATCTTACTTTTGTGGTTATAGTTACGAGTGCCGCGAATACCGTAACCGAAATGCCATGTCAATTTCTTTTCGAACAGTAACAGACTTGTTTTCTCCTCTTTTTTTCTATTTTTTGTTCATTCGTCGACAGCAGAAATAATAATTTTCGTCTCTATAAATCGATGTTCTTTAACGATACGTATTACGGTACGTCGTATTGTGTCGAAGCGACCTACGACTCGATGCTTCGTGTCGTAAATTATTAATTCTCAGGTGGCGCTGCACGTATATCTTACGATTATTGCACTTAACGATTCGAATATCGTATTACGAATTTACGAGGTCCACTAATTTTATGATTATTAACCTCGCCTTTCATTGCCCGTATCGGCTTTATGTACGACTATTCGCGAATAGCGTGCTACAGTGTACGACTTGCTTTGTACACATCTCTGTTGTGCTTGATATAAACTGTCTAGTACGAATGAAGGCGCCAAAATGGTGACGATCACGAGCGAGGTAAATTATTCGACGAATAAGACGGAACGCGATCTGTAACGCTGTCGCAAAGATCTTACTTTTGGCTGGATGTATCCTGCTACAGTTCTGGCTCAGGAATTCCGGCATCCTGATTGCTGCACTTATGTTTTTCACCCACAAAATTACACTTCACTTACACACGGACTTGTACACACGTCCCAAGTAAAGAAAACTGAAGCGTTACGTACCGAATACGCCCTCTGGTGGAACAGATTGCAAATGGTTTACTTCAACGCCACTTAGTCTACGGTTGATACATCACATTCTATACTCTACAGTCGATAACTTTTCTTCACAAAAATATAAATCAATCTAAAAAAGATAATAATTATAACATTTACATTTGTACAACGAATGAAATATTTCATGCTTTCCCCTATGTGTTCGTCGATGCGTCTCGCAGATCAATCGACGATTCTATCCAAGCAGTTGTAGATGAACTGGGTCGTGTTTCCGCCAATCGAATTTCCGGAGCGCTGCGTGCACGTCCTGTTCGCGGCTCCCATGTTTCTTCGGTTTGAATTTTTTGTACTTCGGTGTTTGTGTTCTTTCTTAAATTTGACCGAATTTTTGCTATTAATTTCGCATCACCGGTATAATCAACAGGACTTTGAGGATTCAACGGTTTGGTGAATGAGGTGGTCTCGTTTTCGTGCAATCTAATAAAGAATAAATGCGTTTATTTCAATTTTATACCGACGTAGGAAAGAGGGGGAGGGGGAAGGCAGAGAAATAACATTAAATGAAGCAGTTGTAATATGAATATCTATTAGGTAACGTATAATCTTACTGAAACGGCAGACATTTTGCAGACTCTTTGCTGTATCTTTTTTTACTCTGTGCAGCTAATTTCGCAATAATTTTTGCATCTATATTAATCGACTTGGGTTTCTGGGTGTAAGTTTTTAATTTCTCAATATTCGAGGTCAAATGTTGTATCTGTATCTTAAGTGTCGCATTTTCATGAACTAATCGAGCGTTTCTTTGTATCACCTGAGAGTCCACACAACAAACAATGATTTCTTTCGATGAAAAATACAAAATATTATACAAATGAACAACAGCTAACAGACACTGCATTTTTTTTTATGGAATTCACCTGCAGAAATTTCGCTTTATTCAACGGCAAAGGTTCTTGGAATTTGTTTGACACGATAATGTTAAGTTCCTCCCTAGCTTCGTCTAATCTTTCCATCGTATCCGCCATTACTTGCAAATGCTCCTTCAGCAACTGATCAAACTTTTGCCTCAACGAATCCTTCGCGTATTTCATTCGCAGAAACTTTATGCACAAGTTATACGTGGTCTCTGCCTTGTCGTTCAATTCTTCTCGAAGTGATTTATTCTCCTCCTCCAAACATTCTCGTGCCTCTTCCAATTCTCTTTGTTGTTGATGCAATCTCGACGAGCCACTTGCGCATCGTGTTTTATGCCGTTGTATCTCGGTGTTGAAGTAATCTTTTTCCCTCTGATAGAAGAACCTTTCGTCATCCAACTGCTCTGGAATTAATTCCATACATTTAACGATCGCGATGAACTTATACTAGATTTCCGTAAGTCTTACGTTTGACGTTCCTAACGCATCTTTGTTGCTTCTTCAATTCGACCGACAACCGTTCGTTATCTCGTTGCATGTCCTGCAGTTGCAAATCCTTTATGTGTATAATGTTTTCTAAGGACGTAACTGTTTCCTTTAGATCTATCACCTTGCAGTTATACATTACATTACATTAGTACATTAATTAAATTATCGATCACGAATGATTTATTAAAACGTTCGTACTTGTTGACGTAAATTTGTTAATTCCTCGCTGATAATTTGACATTGTGCACTCGTATCAGAAACTTTTGCGTCCGTGACTTTGTTCAAGCTGTTCTTGAAACTAATATTTGAGCTAATATTCTGCATATCATAATAGCGAATATTACGTTCTATCGACGAGCAGTAAAATTTTTTTTTTTTCTTGACCTTAAATCACATCGCATCAAAATATTTTGTACCGTTATCTACGGCGATGATGAATCACTTACCACAATATACAAGTGAAATTTAGCTCTTGAAATGATTCATAAATTTTTTAGGTTCTGTTTGTAAACTGTCTTAGGAATCTTCTTATAGAATAATCTAATGTACCCTTCACACGTTGAAAATCATCAACATGGTGTGTGGCCTATTTACTTTCTCGGGAATCGTACGAACGAACAATTTCTTCTCGTCACATCATGACGAAAAATCATTTTTGTTAAATTATCAGACGTGTTCAATTATGTTAACAATTGACGAACGTTTCGATGTCATTAAAACTGCTTAACCTGCGATTATCTTATTCGTTACAGAATCAGGGGAAAGGCATTCAAATAAAAATTACATCAAGCGATACTGATTAAAAGTTGTGAAATTTTTTATTGTATCGTATATGTACAAAATAGGTGTACAGACTACTTATCAATCGCATGGGCGCGTTTTATACACGCTTGACATATGCTTTTACCGCATATAACACTGATGTAAGAGCATCACATTGTGTAGTACACCTGTGTAACCCCCTCTTCTGTTATCTTTCATCAAATGGAATGAATGTCGAGATGACGCGTAAACATGTTTCTTTCTTTTTTTTTTTTTCTTTTAATTCAGATCTCTTTTTTTTTTTCTCTTTACAGTCATTAATAACATTCTAGTATAAGGGTTTCTGTGACTATTACCCTTTCCCCATCTTGTACACACGAAAATAATAAATTACACTGGAACGTTATCTGCACAATTTGTTATTTTTTTTTTTTTTTTTCTTTAAAGAGCATAGTAATTCGTTTTTTTTTTTCTGAATCGCGTTTACATGACTACATTAGAATAGTGTATCTTCGCATCACTGGAAGTGTCGATGTGTGAACACGGCATCGGAGAAGACAAAAAAGGAAACAATACGAATACACCTCACTGTAGGTCCGTCCGTGCTTTCCACTAATTTTATTAACAACAACTGGGCCAAATATTTTTCTTTTCCTGTTCATCATTAAAAACCGTGCTCTTGTATTATCTCACGGATTTCTCGGAAATTTTAATTACATTTTTTTTTTATCAACTCCCTTGCAACAAGATAAAATCAAATATCATGTATGATCGGCTCTCAGAAGAATGCCCTCTGAACTTTCAACTTCATAAAATTTTGTCAAAAAAATAATTTTTAATTCACATCCTTAATATCCCGTAGTTTGTCTAATACGTTTTAAGGGTCATTCCTCTAAGGCATTTTGTGAAATGTTTGGCTAGATCTCGAAGAAACATTTGACGTCGATAAGAAAAATCTTGCTCCGTGGTTTTGTTAAGTGGTCAGAGTACTTAATAAAAATGTTCGTGGATCAGTAAAATGTGACGTTATTCTTCGAAAACTATGTAATGTAACATCTTATTATAACATTCCATTGGTCCAGTTGTGTTGTAGAAATGTGGAAGGCAACGTTTGTCGTCTGATAATCTGGTGAAACGATACTAGATTCGCACAAATGCGGATGATAATGATGGACTTACGCTTATTAGTCTAACTTAAAAGTTTGTTGTGTTTCCATAGTATTAAGGCTCGTGTTTATTTTTTCTTGTTCTTATTAGCTTGATTTTTGTATTTGGCTGCAGTTGTTAATTTGGCCTTTTTCGCCTTGGGTTCATCTTCCTCCTCTTCCTCATCTTCTGGCTCCTAATATGTTAAAATAAGAAAGAGAATATACCTATGCATATACTTCGAAAAAATTTTAAATACATAGAACGTAAAAATGGAAAAAAGAGGAAACATGATGAGTAAAGAACAAAAGCAGCAACTCTTTCAAAATGGGATGATTTATTATGCAAAAAAATAAAACAGACACATGGAATGAAACACAAACGCAGAAAGTTATATCCACGACTTTCATTTATTCCTTAAACAATCTTCAGAGCCCTCCCGCCCCCCGCAAATCTTAATATTAATATAACGCGAGTTTAAAATATTCTCGGTAAAACTTGTTTTTTGGAGGATGTTCGAATAGCAGCATTTTAATATTAGGACTCTACTTGTCTACAGCTTCATCCAGTCTGGCACGCTTCGTGCCATTTTTTTTACCATCTGCAGAATTCTTTCTTTTCTTTTGTGGTGCCTGAAATTTGTAGTATTCCTAGTATATAGAAAATGAAATACTATCACTTCTGTTAATATACATAATAAAAGCATAAGAATTGTTAATGTCAAATTTATCTACATGTATATAATTGTTTCAGTCGAAAATATTCTGCATTTTTCTTAGATCAACTCTCAAAAAATTTTCATTTCAGCCTAATTAGAATGTCAGGTATTAATACAATCTTTTCTTTTCTTGTGAGATAATATTTTTAAGTAACTTTTAATATGTACATGAGCATTTATTCAACTAATTTAGAGAGTCATTACAAGATTTGTACCTTATCATCATCGTCGTCGTCGATGTTTTCTTCTTCCATTTCATCATCCATATCATCAAACTCCTCCATGTGTGCACCTGGAAAATTAAAATTAACGCAAAATTATATATTTTTATAATCTAAATGTTATTGACTTCTCCTTACAAAAAGGAAAATATTTTTGTCGCATTATGAACATTTATGAATGAAAAAAGAGAAGGGTCTCTATAATACTTTCTATTATGAACACACTAAGGTATATACATATATATTTTGAACTCTGATTTTATTTTTATTTTTATGTATTTTGTGAACATGTTTGAATTCCAAAAATTTTGTTATACTTAAAAGTTATATTAAAATTTATCATATACTATCTGTCTCAACAGTTAAAAGGCGTCCAGTTCTTATTATCGCCCTTCTCCACACAATTTTTAACTCCGATACAATTAAATGCTCTAAAATATTATCACTTTGACATGCATACACATTTCACATCAGAATTTTAATGTACATAAATGTTAAGAAACCATATAGCAATAGATAATATAAATTCTTACCAAGGAGATTATGTCCTACTATGTGAACGGGACCACTGCCTTTAACCAAAGTAAATGTAACTGGAGGGTCAGGAAAACTGAGATCCAGAATAATCTGTGCTGTTTTTCCCATCTCCAGCAGAGCAATTGGTGTTTTGATGGGTCCTTTCAATCCCGTTGCTTCCACCTGTAGTACATTGAGTTCTCCAGGTACAGCCTCTGGACCTAAAAGTGCCTGGGAACACCGTACAAAAGGTAATGAAAATCTGAAATTACAAATACTAACAACTCCCATAAAGTTAAATGTATATGCATATATATATACAAATCACAATTTCGATGTAAAATAAGAATAATACTAACTACAATTAAATATAATATTTGTTCATTTTTATGAAAAAAATATTCTGCAATATATGTAAAAATGAAAATTTGTATATATGATATGGCTGTATATTACAAATATCACAAATAACTATAGAAAATAAACAGAATACATTTTTAATTTGCATACGTTTATAAACGTTAGAGCGTTTATATAGAATTAGTACATATAGAATTAATGCTTTTATATAAGAGTGTACGTAAATACAGTATTAGCGCATTCGTCAAACAAATATCAGTACCAAAAATTTTCAGTTTCATTTCTCGAAAATTCTAAGGTAAAAGAAAGGTTAGCTTAGCACGTGAAAATGAAGAATGGAGGCTATGATAAAGAGATATTCTATTAGTTTCGCACCCACAGTTAAAAATTCGCGCGCAAACGTAACGAGAGGTGATGAAAGCGCTCGAAAAATCAGGATTACCAGCGACGCCAAATATTAGTCATATATTTTTACACGGTTAATAGAATGATACGCAAAGGTGTGTTAGACCGTTTCGAAAATTTTCCGTACAATAGATCCAAATAGATCGAACGCGTACATTGTGGATCGTATATGAAAGACCGTTGTCGATGAAATCGCACGTCAACGAATATCCGTCGCTCTCGAACGGAAAATTATGGAAAGGGAACGAAATGTACATAACGCATCGTAAAATGATAAAATACCAAGCAACTTTTCGAATGATTTCTCATCGATATTTTCCACTTACCATTTTTATGATAAGCTTCTGATCGGCTCCGAAATGTTGGTTTGTACCGTCTGCGTCGTCGTTCTTGTGCTCCGGATCCCATACCTCGCTAGAATTGAGTCCTTCGAGAGCGATTCCTGAACACAAAAATCACAAGAGTACGCACACGAAATAATGCAAATGCTTGCCGTTGTATCGTAGTTAGATAAAAAACGCTAGTTCGTTGGCTGCTTAGGAACAATGGGGGCTCGTCACAATGGCCGAAAGCCAGCCGGCGTCTCGACCATAGTGTACCGCTCGCGTCGAATGGCCAACGACGAAGTAAGTATTCGCGTGCGCCACAAAATAAAGGAACCACAGCATTCGCGATAACACGACTTCTGATATTTACCGTAAAGATATTCCTCTGCCATGACGATCGAGTTGATATTAAAGGATTCCCGTTAGTGGACGTATAGAAAGACCCCGTTGGAGTATGCGTGCCGAACGAGAGTGGAGAAGCTAAAGACGCCGCGCGCACAACGGTCGCTGCGCGAAGAACAGTGGTCGCACGTGCTAGACGAACGCGTAGCAAATGAGTTTCGCGTACTCAGCCTTGCGCGCCTAGAATACGTTCTTCTCTTTGATTGGTCGATGCACTTTCAACTATCGTCAACAGCGTTGCCATCTAACATCACGGAACTTCACTGAAGGCTTTACGAGGGGTATTATTTACCCCCTTGTATTAGGTCGGTTATGAAAGAAATGGGTCAAATGAGATATGAAATTGTTCCATTTAAGGTTCTCTAACACTTCTTTTAGGCTGTAAATTTCAGAATTTTAACGTGCAATAAGATGCTGCGTATATAAATTAATTCTAAAAAGAAGTAGTGCATCATTCCCATCTTATATGATATTTATTATTTAATGGCATCAATAAAACATTTTATAAGCAAAGTATTATTCAGATACGTGGCATTAATTGTAAAATTTTTAATAACAAATAGTACTTATCTTTTCTTATAGCAGTAAAACATTCGACTTAAAAAATATGATTTCCATTAAATATAAATATTTTTAGTAATCATTTAAACATTTGTTTAATAAATAGTAATACGATTTAAATGAAAAATTTGGCAACATCGTGCTGAAAGACTATTGGTCTACGTAAGTTCTGATGGTAAGAGCATGACACATTGACTGCATAAATATCGGACGCAACACGTGAATAATACTTAAATTGAACAAAAGCCCAATGAAAGAGATTCATAGAAAAATCGAAGAATTCCTACAGTACAGTTAATATAAATTCATTGAGAGACTTTTGATAATTTTATAAAAAGTCATAGTCGTATCTTGAGAAAAGACGTAGCCCTCGGTCAACGACAGGAACTGATCAGAATGAGGGCCAATATAATTATTCTAACTTGTTTATTTCTGTTACCGGCAATTTTCGGTAACTCTGAAAAAAACGAAACACCATTTGTGCCAACCCGCGAATGGCAAACTGTGAAAAAAGGTAAGTGAACATTTATTTGATCTCGCGTGTACGTACATTTTGGGACTACTTTTTTACGCAACTGATTGTGCTCTTCCTAAGACCACGTCAGTCAAATTTGACGTTGCAGTTGCTTCGAGAAGATAAACCATAATTTTCATGTCATTGTATAAATAAAACATCACTCGCATCGTAAAAAATTTTCCCCGTAATTTGTGATTTATGATTATTTAAAATATTCTTAATGTGTTAAAATATGATATCTTGTAAACTACATAGAACAGTGACGTACGCAGAATTTTATTTAAAGGTGCAAATAAATTTGTCAATAGTTTTATTAATTTTATAATTTAATTATTAATAATAAAAAATGGAACTTGTGCACTTGTTACATCACCTTCTACTTTATTTTTCCATTAGGCATGCCAATACCTAAGGGCCTACATATACGACACAGTTTTGAAACTGGAGTAACAGAAGCTAAACTGATGGATAGCGAAGAGACAGAAGAGAAAGATTCAAATGAGAATTTAAAGAGCTCAAATACAAATTCTTTGACATTGCATCCTGAGAAAGCAATTGTTGAAGAAAAAGAGCCTGTAGCGACAGAAAAATCTGATTTGTTTAATCATCCAATTGAGGAATTAAAAGCTAGATTGAAAAAATTGAAACAGGATGGTGGAGAAAATGTTCCAGAATTAAATGTTATTATTTTTTACTTTAAACAGTACATAACATATAAGAAACAGCTTTTATAAATCATTTAAATTTTAGGATGAACATGCACAGCAAGTAAAACAACAGTTTAGAGATTATGAAACATTAAAGAAAGAGTTCAAATCACTTGTAATAAATATAACAACTGATTCAGAATTGTTAAGTAACTATTTCCAAAAGTTTCAAGCACATAAAAATGGAATCACCATGGGAACCCTAACAACCACAGAAATAGAAGAGATTTTAGATATTTTACATAATTTGGAATTCCTCCTTCATCATATTGATAATGCCAAAGTTTTTGCTGATATGCAAGGGTATGTATGAAAGCAATTTTTTAAATAAATAATAAGTATAAAGAAAATTTTATGATTTTTCAATTACAGCATGAGCAAGATCATATATCCATGCCTCAATGGAACTAATAATGAAATAAAAGCAGAGGCTTTAAAAATTTTGGGTGCAGCAGTTCAGTCCAATCCTAAAGTACAATTGAGTGCATTGGAAAATCAAATTGTTCAAAAGCTTTTACATATATTATTAACAAATAGTAAAGTGGATGTGAAGTCAAGGTGTCTGTTTGCTTTGAGTGCCTTAATAAGACAGTTTCCAGCAGCACAGAAAGTATGGATTGACCATGGTGGAGTAGAAATATTTGGAAAGATTCTTATTGATGATCAGTTACAAATACAAATAAAAGTTATGAAACTGATCAATGACTTAATTGTTGAGAGACAACATTTAGAAGAAATCACTGATGCTAAACAACGACAGTTAAAAGTAAAGGCATATGGAGCTGCAGACATTGAAAAGAAATTGTTAACATACGAATATTGCAATAATTTAAGCAACTTAATGATAGCAAGTTTCAAGGGAGAGGAGAGTGAATCATTGAGAAATGATAATTATGAATTTCTCGAAACCATTTCTGATAGTATGATCACCGTTACTCCTATTTGTATAGATCGTTTTAGAGAAATTAAAGATGAATTACTCCCCGTCATTAAGCATTTAATGAGCTTTTACGAGAACTTAAACTTACTAGTCGATAAACTTCAGACAACTGAAAATCCTCGCGATGAATTGTAGGAAAGAAGACGTGAAATTAAACGTTCGTAAGGACGGTCCCCATATATTTATTTTTGCGTTTATCATTGTATAAAGTTTTATGCGAAATTGAACTTTTTTGGGCATAGGTACTTTGTGTATCAATTGCCGATATTCCACAAAGATTGTTACCAGATATATATTTGGTAACAAGTGTACACCAGTTTTAATGAATGCATGTGTCATGTATCATGAAATGGATACGCGTGTGTATGTGTATGAATTACGAAATTATCGTGTACATATAGCGTGTGAGATATTTGAGTTATGTATTCAGTGAATGTTTTTATGTTTTATGGAGATTATTTAATAAATTATTTTGTACCGTTCGTACTCGTGTTGTTCTATAGAGAAAAAATGATACCAAGGCCTTTATTATAGAATAAAATACTTTATTTACAAATTATAATGATTACATATGAACAATTTGTTCGTGTAGCCATAGTTTATAGAAAATATACTTGCGAAGTCGCTGATTAAACCAGCTTCGTAAGTTCCGAACTTCTATTTACACGTGCTTAAAAAGGACGCTCATGTACCAAGTATTTTGTCGTGAAAGAATCCCTTGTTTTTCTTTAAGTACAAGGATTACGTTCATATTGTGCGGTTTATAAGACTTGCATCTTTCGAAATGATACACGAGACAATGGAGAATAGATGGACACTTGGTCTCAATGACTCATCTAATCCACAAATTCTCTAAAATACTTGATATTACATAAACTTTCGAATTTTATTAAATACAATGACTCTATATATCTACATACCAATTTTAGTGATTTTACGTAGTATTTCATATGATTTGTTTCCACTCTGTTACGATATACAAATTTTTTTTGTTAATTCTCAGGAATATTTTTTGTTGTTTTCACAGTAAGATAGATTCATTACATTATTTACAACAAACTGTAGGAACTTAAAAATATACATTTCTCGGAATACGCGTATCGAACAAATCGATACACACAACCGAAAAACCACACTTATCTGTCTGTACGTAATTTACAAAAATTTTTTTTTAGTTTCAAGGTTTCTTATTTTTTTTTAAACAGTAAACAAGGAAGCATAAACATTATGTACACGATGATCCAAGTCATTCGTCAATACTGCTTTCATAATGTAACGTCTAGATAACAAAGTTTAAGTGCAAAGTAAGTCGATATCATAGAAACGGAATGACGTTTCCCTGCATCGCGTTTTCGATAGTTTACGGAGGAACATATGTGTATTTGTGTATAAACTATGCCAGGTTCATAACAATATCCCTTAATATATCAATATAAATCGATAATACCGAATTACCAATAATACGATCCCCAATAAACGATCGAAAAATATAAAAATAATTCATACAAATACTCTCCTTCATCTTTCTTTTAGATACTTTTCCCTTCTCACTATTAGAAGAAGTTTAACTACCGCAAAAAGGAGATCGACGATCGAGGATGAACTTTACCCAAGTGAAAACAAAAAACGACACGCACTACTAAATCAAATAATCATAGAAAAACTAAAAAGGAAAAGACCGCGATTAGATCGAACGTGCGAAAGTACTAGCCACGAAATAACTACGATATCCTATTTCAATCTAAATTCAATACAAATGTTTATAATAAACGATATTAAGGCTTTGGTCAGTCGTTAATCATCGTTCCTCGTCTCCAATGTCTCCCGTCGCAGATGCATCATCATTGAGCAACAAATATACCACCGCGGTAGAACTTCTTATGGCAAACTCGAATTACTCTCGTTCCGACATATATCGAGGTATACTAATAGAAAAAATTCTACGCTCGATATGCGTCGAGCATAGTCCGACAGGTTGAACCTAAACGCTATTACAGGACAACAGTGTAACTCTACTAGTCGCAGAGGATCGTTAAAACTGCCATCACGAGAATACCGAAGAGCAACGCTATAAGCTGCTTCAACGATTCCTTTGGACTAGATTCCTTAAGCAGCTCAGGTAGAATGGTCACCATGCCGATGTGTAGGAAACCACCAGCGGTGAACGGTAATATCCAGTTCGTCTTCGCTCCTACGGAAATGAACAGTGGGATAAGTTTAACAAATTTTCCACCTATTATTTCTTGTTACAAACAGTTGCTGCTCTACCTACCAACTTCACCGCCTGAGAAGAGCACCGCCGACATGGCTCCAAAAATGCCACCGCTAGCAGTGAAAAGCTGCGCCCGCGCAGCATCCCATCTGTTGAATCCACTGCGTAGAAGAATCGCGAAATCTCCAACTTCGTGAGGAATCTCGTGTATGAGGATGGCAAACGTCGTGAGAGCGCCCAAACGGAAGGACACCAAGAAGGAACCACCAACGGCCAATCCATGAGTAAAGTTGTCTATGATATTGGCCATCAGATTAAGATAGCCGGTTATATGTTTCGACTTCTCCTTTGCAACAGTCTTTTTTTCATCGCCAACGTTCATTAGATTATTCTGCTTGGGGTAACCATTAGAGAGATTGCCGGAGAGACTATTAGTTTTAGCGAGCTTCTTAATCAGACAATCCTTCGTTTCCTCTAGTGGCAAAGCTTCTGATGTCTTTGATAGCTCGTCACACATTAATACTGGCTTAATGCCGTTGGTAACGTAGCCGTTCTTATTACGTGCGTCTTTGTAACCGTTTGGTAACTGTGAGTATCCGTTCTTCTTCAAAAAGGGCTCCAACTGTAAGTGTAATTCGAAACAGTTATAACATGAGTATTTTATATTCGTGAATGAATTAAATCATATACATGTTTCTGTGGAATTTACGAATTACCTTATCAATGGTTTTCGAGAAGTCATTCTTCGGATTGCTCCCGATCAGATTGATACTGTTATTGTTCTCCATTTCTTTCTCAGCCTCTGCGTTGCTTTTTTCGCACACTTCCGGTTTAGTGGACGAAACATCCTCGTTTTCAACCTCCTGCTCGAAGCCGAACAACTTCTCCAGTATGACGAAGACTAGAAAGCCTCCTAGCACCCATAGTCCACAGTTCATCGACGGATGTCCAGCATTCGATCCTGAAACAAGAACGTTCTTCTATGTAATCGAGAATTACGAGAATTTTCTATGGTGGGCGGGGTAAAATTGTGGAACACACGATCGGCACGATAACACAGTAATAGCAGAGAACAGCAAAGAAGGTAATTCAGAAATCGTAGGTGGACCGGGAATGACCGTGTGGTTTAATTTAGAAGAGGACATCTGTAGCAATTGAAATCCACAACTGATGTACAATAGGGTTTCAGAGCGTCGCTTTTATCGCTTACAAAAGCGTCGACAGAGGTGAAGGACCGTCTCGGGTCTCGCTTAGCATAGCTCTAACATGATGAATTGCGGTATGTGGCCTGAGTGCTGTGCAATTTAGATGATATTGCTACACAGCGTTCGATTGAAAGAAAGAACACGAATCAAAATCATGAATTCCAAAATCAAAGGTGAAATATTGAAACAAGCTACCTGAAAAATTATTTCGGAAATTCTATTCCTCTGACATACCAAGTTAACAAACATAATTTTTACGTGTATTCTGTGGTTTTTAAGGATCATCTGTCGATCCATCGAGATACTTTTGAAAAGGACCAAGCACAGGTGGATAGATTTCAAAAACGATGAAAAGATGGATCGAGCAACCAGTGACTGCACAAAATTATGGATGGCGCATATGAACCGTACATGCATTCGCGATTGCTCAACACACGGAGAGAAAGACCAGCGATTTTACCCGTTTGATAAGCAAATATTGCAACGATCGATTGATCTCTCGACTCTCTCAGCTTGATCTTTGACACCGTTCTCGTGCGTTTTTGTCACTAAACATCGTCCAAGTTCTTCGGTCTAAACCCCTGCACGATAAACACAAGCAACTTTTTTCCGGATCGAATCGTTCAAGGCCTTAGCCCCATGTGACTTTTCACGGTTTTCGCGATATTTCAGTGTTACGTAATTCATTACACCCACTTACGCAAAGTTCTATCAATAACGTATAAAGAATTCGTAAAAACGTCAACCGTGCTAGAGGCCTGGTACTACTTCGTGTACGTCATTGTCTTGAATTTCTTAAGGGCTTCTTTTATCGTGAATTTCTCAAGGATTCGAGGAACTTGCGGGAGAAGTTAAGTACGAGAGACACGTGTGTCGTATTATCAAATTACTGTAAAATTGGAGGATGGAAATGTTAAGAGGTTGACAGAGGAAGTTGAGGGACATTTTCGGGTAGGTTTTACAAATATAACAGGGAAGAAATGGCAACAGAAATTTTACGTAAATTCGATACAATTCCATTGAAAATCTCCGGTGGAATCTTTACAAGAGAATTTCAATGTTTTTCAAGTCCAAAACGATGGAAAGCAAATAAATAAAATTTCGTTCTAAGTTCATTCATACGGATATCGGAATTGGTTCACCAGTTATCTCGCCTGACTCATGTCACAATGAATCGTGAAACGCCTCTGTTGCCATTTTGTCGGCCGATATTGCGAAACAAGGACGAGCCACCAGTTACTGATATTTTATTGTCACTCAGGGAAAACTGCCACTGTGTCTATTTCCTTTCGATTAAAACATTCTCTGCTACCACCGTCGAAGCATCGTCGACAAAGAACGACTTGGACATCGTCATGTGCCATCGTCGACAGTGTATCGATCGATCACTGTCGCGACATCAAAAATCGATCTTCAATTAACACATTCGTTGGCAACCGTCGAAGCATTGTCGACAAAAATATAACTTGCAACTCGTCTTGTGCCACCGTCGACACTGTGTCGACAAGGTATCGATCGTTCACCGCCGCGATATAAAAAAATCGATTTTTCGATCGACACGTTCGCTGCCACTGTCGAAGCATTGTCGACGCAAAATGACCCGTGCCGTGTGCCATCGTCGACACTGTGTCGACCGGTCACCGCTGCCGACATCAAAATCACACGGCACGTCCTACGCCGATTTTTTCGTGGCAGCGAACGTGTCAAAACGCGTTTCCTTTTGCTGTCCAATCTTCGTGATTCCTGGAAGTATTTTCGTACCTGTTTTCAAGGAGCTGTTCCCCCATGCTTCCGGTAGCAGATGCAAGAAGACATCGCCCAGAAGACCGCCGACTGCGAAGCTTAACAATACTTTCAACGTGCCAGCACCGGCTGCAACAGAAACACAAGCAAATTATTAACAGAGATCGCGATGATTCACATTAACCATGTCAAATTGTGTTAACCAAGATTTTCGAATTAAATAGACCAGTAAATTAGAGTGAAAGAAAAAAAAAAGGTTAAAGACAATCTTCCGATAATATTTCTATTCTCCACTTAAATTTCACGATAGGAATCGGTAAAATTAAAGATAGAATGTGGTATAAGAACGAAGAAACCAATCAGAAGTTACCGGGCTGGAAAACGTAGAAGATTGAATGGAACAGAGATCAAAGAAGATGTTTTAGAAACTCGGTACGAAGCTTGACCTACGCGCGAACGCGTACGAACGCACATAATCGAGAGTATGACGGTGTGGTGGGTGTTGTTAAGGTTTCTCCTGCACGATATTGATAAATTTCGAAGTTAATCGCGTGGCGCTATGAATTTCACCGTCGGTTGATTTTTCCTCTACATCGATCACTGGATCGCGTTCGGATATATGTACAATCTAATCTCTGTTCTGTTTTCGTTCGAGTAATCAATCGTTGTTTTCGTGGATTACAAAAAAAAAAAATGTAAGGCATCAGATACACGAAAAGCAAAAAAACAGAAATGATTAAAAAGTCGAAAGCTCTCGTTTTCGTCTTGTAACGAAACACACACACATCTGAATTTTCGAACAGAGATTTCATCAATTTCGATCGTTTCATTTCTTCAGGAATTTATCAAAATCGTCCCTATCGCCGATTCCGATTAGATCGTATCTGATTTCGCCGGCCAGATTGCCAATTATAACGATATTTGTGTTAGCAAATCGCGCGCGTCCAGTCGAATCAGATTGTACTTGAGCTGCTTTCGGTCTCTAATTCCCTATCCAACGATACCCCATAAAACGAGTGTTATCTTAGCTCCCCCGAAAAGAAGAGCGAAACAGTAATCGTCTAATGCTTGACCGTAATTGTTTTTAGATAGACATTCTCGGATTTTTATGGATTAATTCTATTCAATTAGTCATCGATAAATTCTCGTTAACGCTGTGTATAGTAAATTAGAGACAAGAGGGATTTGCTTTATCGAAAATGGAATGAAAAGTATGTTTACTCCGTTGAGGTAGTTGCTCGACGGACCTTGATCCACTTTTGGCAGAGGGATCATTAAATGTACTGTTAATAAGAGTACCGAGCAACCAGAATTCAGTATAGAATTTTCGAAAATTCAAATAAAAATTTCAAAATATCAATTAAAATCTATCTGAACCACGGTTTTATGGATTTTACTTCCAAACATCTGCTACTCTAATTACTAGACAATGCAAGAGAAAATGTTGAAAACTGTCTTCGGTGGATATCGTATAATAGTCACAAGACAGTATCCAAGACAATCGACGTACCCTCTAATTAAGCTATTTACAACAGGAATAGCAATCTCCAAGTGCTATTATTAGTGCATTCATTATTCTACGTCATAAACATCCGCCCATTTCAAGCGTACCAAGTACAATGACCCATAGTGGAATATTATTACCTCTAATTACGTATTATAAAAATTTTCTATCGTATACATTTTCACCCTAATACCATCTATATCTCGATTGTTCATCTTGCAAATACAATTCTAAGTCTGTCGTAAAACGATCAAGAATGTTATTTGCACTGGCTATAAATGAAAGAACAAAAACAGACTTATCATAAACTGTCTAGCGATCAAGGGTTAATAGAAACAATATTGCGTTTCCCGTTCTTACAAATATAACTCGCCTATCTAAGCGTTTTTCCGAGTTCAGTTTTTAAGCATTTCTCTTCTTGGCATCGCGAACTTTGCACCGACCTCGTCGTGATCAATACGTCGATTCAGTAAATCTGGACGTTCCTCGGTTACTTTCAAGACGAACCAAACGTTTACACGCTGCCCGTGTCTCTTTATAGAAATGAAGACGTCTCTCTCTCCTCCGTCCACCGCTATTTCCTCTGGCAACGGAGAAAAAGTTGCACCATTTCAAGCGTGTAACACGCATTTTCGTCACCGAGTGTCGCGAAGCGTTGCAACATCGTTATTCCGCGAATAAAACGCAGGAAATCGTACAATAAGTCGTGAGTAATAATATTCACGACGATACACAACGCGATAAGAAAAGCTGGCGCGACGGAAAAACCATTTCTCTACTTCGTTTACTTTCAACGACTGATTAAAGAAACGGTTTCAAGTTGCGCGCCGCTCGTCTTTTGCGCGTGGTGTAACTAGCGCAATCTTGAACAACGGTAAGAGTCCGTTACACGCGGCGATCATTTGTGCCAGGTAACCGAAATTTGACCGAACGAACTGCGTCACTCGGCCACGATGCTGACCTCCATTTTGTACTAGTGTTGTCACATGGTGGGGGGAAAGCTGCGTTCAATTCGTGGTTAATTTTTCCCCACTTTTTATTCTTCCATTCAAATTGTCGGTCTGAAAATGTTAATATCAAATAATAGAATGACTGTCTTTTGAAACACCTTGTATAGAAAAGAATTAATAACGAAGCGCTGTATTAAATTACTTCGATCAACAGAAATTCCATAATTTGTAATGTTAACATAATACTATGATACTTCAATATTGAAACACCCTGTAGTAGAACCAAAGATACAACATAAGTTTCTAATAGATATAAAGGCCCAATGGAATTTCCCGCAATTTGAACATAACCTCATTCTCCATTCAGACAGATAGTATATTACTGTAATTTAGTTAAGTAATTTTGAGAACACCCAGTATACGCAAGCCGCGTTCGCAATAACTGCGTTACAAGGAAACTATGGTTGTAAACAAGTGCAGGCAAGAAAACCAGCCCCGTTTCATAGCGCGTGACCGAATGATAAAATTTGTGTTATCTTTCAGTGACGAGTTGCATCTCACGCGATAATGAGCCGGTGGATTGTTACCAGTGCGCGTTCACCGGTTTCTTCAATCTAGATGTTCTGATGAATTCACGTTTCTGTGTCGGCTTTTCTCGTGAATTAGCGCATACCGCGATTTTTTTTCTGTATAAGATTCTTAGAAACATTTATAAATCACATTTCTTTCATCATGTTCATGATGAAACATCGAGACAATGTTACGAGGATCAGACTCATGTGAAGTTGCACGTGGATATCGATTAGGATATCGAGATTTGCATAGATTAAAATATCGATTGTGCTGCCATGAATATTTAGTTACTTCAGAGCTAAAAAGAAAGCGAAGTGTATTTGCAAACGGAACATGTTAATTTAGGTTACGTGAATAGATTTGATACGATAATTAAGATGCTACAGATAAGTAGTGCATAATTTAGAAAAAAACACAAGAACTAGGTTAGAAATAGGACAGGCAAGATGTTTTGTGTAGAGTACAAGCTGTGGTGGAATAATTACAATGTCGCTACAAAGTTATCAATAAAGTTGATACGGTATCGTTGATCGATTAATACAATATCTGTGGTCATTGTTTCGTTTAGTTTTTTATTAATTTTTATCATGCACGTCACATCTGCCTACGGTTGCGCAAGATCAATGCCAGACTAACACACTATCTCATATTTTTCAGCGAATTTAGGTTTCGAGTGTTCTATATCGTCGAAAACATAGCCACGCGGTAGAGGATTAGCTATACTGCAGAAAATAATCTGTACATATCTCACACACGCGAACCATTTCGTTATTATTGCAATTTCGCGCAATTATCTTGTTACGCGAATGTGCGAAGCAGTTTTTTTTTTTCCATTCCTTACATTCCTACGACAGAATAGTACGATCGACGCAGACGCTATTCTTCTTCTACATATATAATTATCACAGGAATAATTAACGGACAAGATATTAAATTATTCACCGATTATATGATTCAATGGCAGCCAGAATAAACTATAATGTGTCGATAAAAAGAGATCCATTAATAACGAACTCGTACGAAAAATTCCTATATCAGGTTACAAAACGTCTGAAAGCAGCATAGATAAAAAAAATTATCAGTAGTATCCGATACAAGTAGATCACTTGTTAAAACACCACCAACGCTAATCGTATAACGAATAGAGTCTACAAACGCAATTCTCTAATTGTCTCCAACAGGAGATGACTAATTTGCTGGCAAGATACTAACCAACGTTAAATTCTACCATTGGAAAACATATGTTTGACAGACAACGGGGAAGGATATCATTCTATTTGCATGTGAATTTTATCAAAGGAAATTCACAATAGCACGGTTCAAACGCAAAATTGTATAGTATATATATGTATGTATAAAAACATGTGTCGCCTGGATTCTAAAATAGCAAAATCGATTACCCGCGCGGTATGCAAGAGCATTCGAAGAAACCGCCTGTGCTTGGGCCGCGTGTTTCGTCGCAGCTGGCGGATAATTAGCGAACTGATCGTCAGTTAAAGTCCAATGCGATACAAAGAGGAAAATAAATTGAGAACGCATCTAAAGTTACACGTGTCGTAGGCAGAAACAACGAGACCAAGCATGATAATAGATTCATTCGAGAACAGTTGTTCCCTCGGTTGAAACGGGGGAAGCCGTCGTTTCGCGCGATCATTTCCAGATTCGTTCGTAACAATTCTAAATGGGGCAATGACGAATAGAGATGAATTTATTGATGGTACTTCAAGGTTTTGACAATCTTATCTAGGGGAATTTTACAGTTGTTCAATCTCTACTAGGTTTACACTTCAATCTGAAATTATGTCTTCAACGAAGATAGGTTATATTTCACATGTGTACAACGATAGAATTACAAATGACAAATAGCAGAATAAATGCATTATTGTATTGTAAATACTGGTCAAATAGGCGACGAATTAGTTCGTCCTTCTCAGTTGACAGATTAAGAACCTTAATTGTATATAAAAGTTTGAGGTTATGTTTCTGAAATGAAGATTGAAAAATCTTGTTGGCGATGAAATCTATAGCAGAAAGGCCATTTAGAATAGGAGATCGAAGAGACGCGTGCAAACGAGAATTGCAGCCGGATCGAATGGCAGAAAATCGGCTTGCGCAAACTTGCATCATCGATTCAACGTTTCGCAATGTAAAGGGACGCTTTCCTTAATCCCTATGCACGGATGCGAGTGGAACAACGAAAAAGAAGAGAACGAGCGGTTGTTCGGGAAGAAGGTCGATGACCAAATGCGGCGGTGTTGTTGACGAAGACCAAGCAAACGAAATAAATCATGTGTCTCGATGGAGCTGGATAAAGAGAAAAATAGCGAGAGATGAAAGGCAGAATTGTTCATTTAACTTGCAGAAAAACAATTATCTGCATTGAGAGAAATTGTACGATTTAGAGAGAATTAGTCGTGGCGCAAACCGGAACCGATTTAAATCCAATTTCGCCTGTTGTAATTTACGGTTTAAACGGCTCCACGACTATCGATCGTCCTTTGCCAGTAAATTCTAGAACGCGAAACTCTGGAAATCCCGCGCTTCCTGCGCGTTGTAAAACCGACGAAAGTGTACAAGTGAAAACCACCAAAACGAGAATAAACGTTAACGAGTTTTCAACTGTTTGAGAAAAATCTAGCAAACGCTTACAGTAGCCAAAGAGTATCGATTTATTCCATGGTGTCGTGGCCACCAGGTGTAATCAAAGGTGCTAGTGAAAGCCAGGTGCAACAACTGCTTCGCTCTTTCTTCTGACGTAAGAGACGATTCTGAATCACCCTTAGGTCTAGAGAGAGGGTCCTTTGAAATCTCGTACGAAAAGTTTTCATATAAAAGTCACGGCCAACTTTCTGCCCTCCCTTCTTTGATTATCGTAGATTCTGGAAGAAAAGTTAGTAAGATCGTAAGTAACGTGAACGAGGATTTTTTATTTCTCTCATGATGCTCGTGTGGAAAAGTATCAAAGAATTATTAAAGATCGTTGATGTACAACAAACGTTTGGGTAATACTAATTTCTATTTAATAATCAACGAATAAGAGACTGAATGATCTAGAAAGAATGTGCATTAGCTACTCAATACCCTTGAATTCTTTCCACAGATTAAAATCTCGTTACGCACACATATGCGTTCCTCCCACGAAGGAATTGGAAATTTCATTCGTATTCCCCATTGTGCTCGACAAGTTCCACGACCTTCGGGGTACCGTGTGCGCCGTGGCACAGTATTCACGGACGTGAAGTCTACCTACTCTTCTGTTCACGATGGTTGAGCACTTTTCACGCGGTTATTTGCTTCGATCCGATATCTTCAAATATTCAGACACAGTGTAGTCAGCCTTTGGGAACTCGAGGATAAAATTCCTCTCTTTCAATCCAATTTTCTTGGGAACGAAATTCTCAGACGATGAGATTTGGAAGAAATTCTCGACCACACCTGCTACACACCACTTCTTTCTATTTAAGATAAAAAAAGAGATCGCTTAAAAGATGTACAAGGAAATGTACGCGAGATAAAAGATTCAAAGGTTGAAAAAAGTATATCTGCAGAAAGAGTAAATAAGAATATTTATAGTTCCTTTTTTAACGCTCGTTCGAACGTGATCTAAATAAATGAAAATTTTCATTTGCATGTCCCGCTTGTTCTTCTAGCCCGCAAATTCCATTGTTGCGACGCACATTGCCGGGGAACAAGTTCCACGACCTTGCTTGCTCGCATTGGCGTGGAGCAACCAGCGTCGCGCATTAACGCGCACCATGGATTCTGCCTCGCACAATACACGCCATTCTCTATCCTATCTGTTCTACCTGCATTCTCGCGATTTCAGTTTGCGTTACAGTGTAACTAAATGTAACTATGAGTACCGCTGCTTCTGGCACACTGTGACAAACATGTGGCTCGTTGCAGAGGATTGAAATTAACCCTCGACTGGTAGGGTCAAGTCGAAACGAACCCTCGTCATTCCTTTGCAGCGTGTTCTCAACCGGTTATGGTCGGTTTTTTGGTCGAAACGTGGCTCCTCCATTTTGAATTTCACTTTGACTGCACGAAGCGAGGGTTGATCCTATATCCTTGTGATTCTTTCGTTTTTTTTTATTCTTTTCGAGATAACTAAGAATGAGAAATAGAAAACAGTTGAGATTGAAGAAATTTTGTCCGAAGAAATTATGATTATAATGAGTATAATATGAGTATAAAAGAGAAAAGGAAAAACTATATAAATGATTTACGGTGACACTCTCCAAGACTATTTCTCTTCTTTTCCGTCAACACGATAACCAGTTGCACACGATTCGAAAGCACGCAAATATCCTGGCGACGCGTCTCTTTTCTTCTGAAAGAAACGAGATTACGCTTCGAGGGAAGAAGATTCTTTCCACGTGGCCGACACTGTGCTCTCGTAGCAAGAGAGGATCCTACACCTGACGTAATAACGCTTCATTATTTTTACGTCGCTTATCGCTATCGCGCTCGCCGTGGTTTCGTGAAACACGACAATTTTGTCTAAAACACGAAATTGCACGATTCCTTTGAAAGGAGAGAACGAGAAATAAAATAGAACATTGTGAACAGTCCAGCATTTGAAACGATATATAGAAAAAGACGTTGATTTTTCGGAACTTTTTGCCAAATATTCCTTACACGAGAATTCAAACGATTATATCTTTTTAGAATTTACAAAAACGATTTCGTAAAAGTTATCGTAATGTAAGAAAAGTAAGTGTGCAATAACCGAGACGGTTTTTTCCTCACTTTTCGAATGATTCGATCGACCGCAGGTGAAATCACAGAGAACGATCTCGTTACTGGTACACGTTACGGTCGCCATGATACGTCGATCGTGCATCGACACGATCGTTGCGTAACCATGTGCAAATGTAAACATTACTTCGAAATGTAGGTTCATAGTCTCATTAGCGTCAGTCCGCGTACTGAAAGAATGCGGTGCAAAAAAGTCCATGTACAGTTTCGTGAATATTCATGTACAGTGCGCGTTCGAATTTTTAATACGTTGAATATAGTGACGTTTGCAAAAAACAAATAAATATAAAATGATAACTGTTGAGCATGAAGCGAAAGTAAATGTGAAATGTTGATAATCCATGACCTCAGAAGACCTGAAAATCAACGAATCGCTTCCGTGCAAATATTTACCCGCGTCTGTTTTACCTCGTACCCCTGTCAAATATCTACGTAGAACGTTGACATCGGGGGGCATGTTTTTCTAAAGTACATTGGAAAACATTCGAACTCACCGAATCGCTAAAACAAATATCGTTTCGCAGATATACAATTTCTATTGATACTTGGTTATGTGTCTCTAACGGTTTCTAAGATACGAAAATTTGAAAATTGAATTTGTCGAGGTTACTGGTGCGAGCAAGTTTTAATGAAAGCGACTCGCAATTTCTATGGTAGATCAACGACTGAATATTATTGTGTACTTTATCGCGAAGTAAAATACGGTTGACACTCGTTATTGTGCTCACTGTTTTGAATAATTTACTGGCGTACTTTCGCAGAGAAAATTGATTAGATAATTCGGTATAATGTCGTCGAAAAGAAATGGTTAATTCCACTGCGCGTTATCTGTAATCTAATCCGGCAGAAAAAATGTGATTAGAAGGCTAATCAATATTGGGCAAATTAAAATGAAAACAATTTAATATCAGATTAATCACCGTTGAAGATTTTCATTGAAGAAAAAAAGAAAGAACGTATGAAGAAACACTGCTGTGTCAAATTTGAGAAAATGAAAGAAGCGGAAGTGCCCAGTTAAAACACAGATACCGTATCACAAAGTAACAAATCATCTCATTGGTACAGATCACCTGTACTAACCTATTGTGAGCTATTTCCCGCGTGCGCGTTTAAAACGTACACATAACCTTCCTTCGTGATCCTCCGAATCCATCGTCGTAGTAGAAAAACAACATGATTTCACTTGAATCATGTAGGCGCATGCTGACGAAAAAATAACGTGAAATCGAGAGAATAAGTAATATTAGGTGTCAACAAAAGGAATAATTCTTTACCTCCATTTTTTAAATCGGCACCTTCTTCAATAGGGATGATTAGCAAAGGGAAGATGCCTGTCAGTCCGATCATGGTGCTTCCCAGTAAAGAAAATATCCATGGCGTATGTTCCAAATATTCTATCGTGGCTTCCCACGGCGCCCACATATCTTCAGTGATCATGTCATAAAAAAATCCGCTGGGTTCGGTGCAATTACGCTGCATACATATGCTTGCCGCCATGTTTGTGCGTGTGTATCGAACAGTTGTCAAAATTATTCGAATTTCGTTAATCTCTCCTCTCCTCTATTTTGTTAGACGATCTGCGACACTGATGGTGTAATTGTTGTGAAAATCAATGATTACGTAATGAATAAAAATCACGATGAATTCTGTAACATTCTTTGCGTTCTGTTTATTCGAAGATAACCTCTCTCGTTCGAGAACACCTTCGTAAAAGTGGTTGTATCTTTACACTGGTTAGCGAACCGGGAATGACACTGATGCGTCGAGAGACTTTTGAGCAATGAAATCTCGTTGTCGAGATTTAATGAAGATTTAGCAAGGAAACGAGCGTTGGGAAATCGTCGAGACGACTACCTAGCACCCGACTAGCCTACACTGAGGACTGAGTACGGACGCTACGAATCAGGCGGTCGCTGACTCTCTACCGTCGTCGGTTTTGTCGATCAAATCAAACCTCTTGTTATTTCATACTGCCGCAATGCGGGGACAAAAGCACCGAGATCAGACCTCCAATGATAAATGCAAGGAATGATTGTCAGACTACGCGTTCCACTCTTGACAGATCAACGACGACTGACGCGCGCCTCTTCTCTTTGTTCCTTCCCTCTTTCTTCACTGTGAAACTTGTTTCGATCGTTCGATTCGTCTTCAATGCGATAGTATCTCATACCATCGAAATAAGGGCACAGTTGAAAGTGACGTTCTTCTTCCAAATGTCAGCGGGAACGGAATCTTGCTTCTCGTTTTTCTTTCCTTTTCCGTGTATTCTTCGACGAATACTTTTGATATAATAAATTCGTCACGATCACCGACTAATCGAATTGGTCACTTTTACCGCCACAACTGATAAACACGATTACACAACGACGCACAATCTATATAACGTACGTTAAATTTCGAGGCGCTGCGACTCTTCGATTCTCGTATTTTTGGTTATGTACGTCTCCTCGATTTTATTGTGTGTTTGCATGAACAAACGCAACACGCACTGATCAACAGAGTTGTACACTGTTGTTTCTCTTTCTATATCTATTTGCTTCTATGTTTATATTGTTGACAAAGAAAGAACGTTAAATCTCATCCACTCACCACATCGACGCAACGGATAATGCATGTTACGTCGAAGGCGGTCCCTTTTATAGCTACTGGAGCGCTCCGCCAGGTCGCTGTACGCGCGAGATAGAGAAAGAATATCCGTTCATTGGGTGAGGAAGGAAAGCAAAGGAAGGAAACAGAAGACAATGAAAATGAACTTGAGGCAACTTAATTGTCAGACAATTCATTATTTATTTCGAGGAAAACGAGATCCCGACATTTTGAAAAGTGACGAAGACAAACACAAAGAGAAATTCGTTCTCATCGTTATTGAACATCGAAATCGATAGAGGCGCTGCTGCACATCCTTGCAAATATTTTGTTGTACGTAGTACAAGCGAATTAAACTGGAGATAAAACTAAAATGTGAATTAATATTTCGAATAAATTTGGATATCTTAAAATATGAAAAGTACTCTGTTGGAAATGGAAAACTGCGATTTAACTTCGCATTTCGGTTTCGTGGAATATGGATTCCTCAAAATAAATTGACTTCGACGTAAAGATATTTAGCTTCTTTATCGCGACACTTCTACGTATTATCTAGCTGTCCATCTTAGTAGCAACGTCGCAAAGATAAAGAAAAAAATATTAATAATTGTTAAATGGTAGAAGAATAACTGCGTGACGTAGCCATTTCGAGATTAAAGCAAACATGAAAGACGCTCTTGAAATTATCTTTCCCTCCCTGTTTATCGTAGAAAATTTGTTGCCATTTATTGCGAAACGCCATACTCTGACGATCACCATTTTGATAATCGATTAACGTACGTTTTTCCTTATTGTTAGATAACAATTGCTCGTCAATGACTATTACTGATAAGTTTAATAAATGTCAAAAGACAAAGAGCGGAAAGAATGAGCTCGATTGATAACATATTGCAATTGTGTTGCGTATACGAAGATTGAAGTAAATGGAAACCGGGATTTCCATCCGGTAAAACACGCGGCGTCGATTTTAAAATACAAACTATTGCGAATAAAACTCTGTCTCGGTTATACCACTTCCTTCGTATTCTTCACATTATAATATAAATATTTACTTAATAATACACATATAACAAACTAGGAAGATGTGTAACAACCGCAATTACGTAAAAACGCATTTCCATTTCTACAACCGTATTTAAGAACATCAACTTCTTAAATCTGTATATCTACAGTCGATAAAACAGACGTATAACGCCATCTTCAATGTTAATTTGCAAATATACAAATCAATATAAATTAATTTTTTCTTCAGTGTTTTTTTTTTTTTTTTAATAATGTAAAAGACATAGAACACCGTATAAAATTAAACCATGCCTTATTTCATCGATGTATCCGACAGTTGAGTGAATCATTCGAAAACACGTTCGACGAAAGAGAAGATTTATGTTGACTGAATAATTATAAACAAACTGTATACAGCAGATTTACATCGTGCAAGGTCCTATAAGTCACCGTAGTTGTCCCAACATTATATGCGGCCTTAATTAATCAAATTGCTAATGGCGCTCGGCCAAATGGTACCTCTTTGGCCTGCAATCAAAAAGATATTCAACAACTGTCATGCATACACGGCGCTTGTTGTTCGACAAATTTTTGCGCGAACAGCCAAAAAAATCGACAATGTACGAAATCGAACTTTCTACACCTTATAAAGACATATACCTCTTTATATCGCTAATAAAATTAATCCAAGATAAATCCTGACTTCCTGTACCGTTTCGCATGTTTTATTTCTTTAATTTACCGAAGAAAAAAAGAATTAAAAAATATCATCCTATCGTTGTCACAAAATTCTACTCGTTGAGATAGATTTCTTTTTGCATCCCGATTTTCTTTTTCCATTAAATATTAAAAAACCAAGCAAGCGGATTTCCGCGTAGCGAAATCCTTGGGAATAAAATACCGCTCGGTTTCCCCGTAACTTGAACTATCGCTAAATATAATTGTGATGCATCGCTAGTGTCACCGACGTGAAACGTGGAATTGATCGTGCTTTTGGTTGTTGAATTTTCGAAAAGTCCCGCAATATACCATGACGGCCCTCTGTTGGCTGTGCATCCTTGCGTGGCACAGCTCTCCAGCGAGTCTATTTTAGGGAACGACAGAAAGTTAAGATTATTTTAGTTACATTTTTCACCTCCGATCTAGAACGTAGGATGCTTAGCGCAAGAACATCACGATGGTTGAGTAGGTCGATTTTCGGCGAGCATCGAGGGTTGCATGCGTTCCGACACTAAATCAACGGGCAAGTATTCCTCCGTGTCTTCAAAAAGACGAGAAGAAAAAGAGGAAATTTACCTCGGAGAAAACACTCCGCTCTAGGAGGAGCAATTACATAATTAAAACGTCGAAAAGTTTCTCCAAAGAGAGAAAGGAATCGAAGGATCGCTGCTTCATCCTTCGACGAAGAGCGAGCACGAAGAGGAACGTACGCAATCTTTTCGATCTTCTCCTCCTTTCTACCAAAACCAGAGAGATCTATTTTATCCACGTGCTCGTGATCAGACAATAAATCCGTCAACGATCTCGCGCGAGTGTATTCCTGATTCCAGTGTTCGATAATTGGTGATGCCAGAGTGTAATTTTAATCGGTGTGTTCTGTGCAGAAGGATATACGTGTCTATGTATCCTCCAGTTGGTTTCTTCGTTTAAATCGGTTCACGAACGATCGGTACACCGTCGACATGGATCTACGAAGAATGTCCAATTGGAACGTCCTGAGCGTGGAGGCAGCACTCCAGCAGCTGAACAACCTCGACGAGGATAAGAAGGAGATCTTGAAACGTCCCAACACGGTAAACTATTCAGATAGAAAGATTTACACGATTTTCTAGAAATTGTCGCAGCAACAATTTCTTCCGTTTGGACGAGAAAGCTACGAATCACGTCGCCGTTGCCTTTTCTACGCGGAAAGGGTTGCAAAACCTTCGAGATAATCACGTCACGGAGGTATACTCCTTTTTTTCTAGATCGTGTCTGCTAGGATCTATTAATGGGTTCTAGCTATTCTTCCGTCACTCCTTGAAACAAAACTGAGAATTACGTCACGGGTGTCTCTTCTGTGCGGAAAGGGTTGCAAACCTTCGAGATTACGACTTCGCCAAGATATCTCCTTCTTTCGTAGATTGTGTTACTCATATTTGTCGATGATCTTTACCTATTCTTTCGTAACTCTTCGAAAGAGAGCTGCGAATTACGTCACGCTTATCTTTTCTATACGGAAAGGGTTGAAAAATCTGGAGAATATGAAGGAACGAAGGTAAACTCATCTTTTCTATTTCTTATTGCTCAAATCTATTAATGGTTCCCACCTATTCTTCCGTCACTCTTCGAAAGAAAGCTTCGAATTGCGTGAAATTTCTCTCTTCTACGCACTCGCATCCCAGACAGAAAGGGTTGCGAAACCTCTCTATCCGAACGTCACAAAGGTATTACTATTCTTTTCTAGATCGCGTTGCTAAGGTCTAGTTGTAATGGGTTCTATCTATTCTTATCTCGCTGTGCTTGCTTGCCTGACTGACTGACTGCTTGTCTTTATTTATAACTAATTAAGCTGTACTCAGTTTGAAGTGCACCTTAGGATGGTCCAGTCAAGCGGCGCACCTCTGACAAATTTCTCCGTGTCAGAGCTATCGTTCTATGTACAAGGTGTCTCGTAATTCACGTGAAATATGTTGACATGAACGTTATGACTTGTCGTATTCATGCGACACGGTTTTCACGGTGATCATGCTCGCGTCGATTCGAAACGAAACTTCACAGTGATACCCATGGTGTAAATCGCGCACCCACGGCTCCGTTGGAAAGTCATTTCAATTCCGACAATGAGCACCTGGCATCAACTGGACGTGGAATTCGCCACGAGCGCTATATCTAGAGAGGACATCGGTACCACTGTTCGTCGTAAGAGAATCGTGTCGAATGCGGTAATTATTTCGTTGCAAAAATACGCAAAAAAGAGAAATATTCAGTTAGAAATAAACACAGTTGGAACGTACTTCGATTTGTTCCCATTCATCCTGCAGCATTTTTCTTAGCTGTTGCGCAACAACGTTAGAGGAAGAGACGAAGAGGGGAAGAAATTCAATCGGTAACATTATCGCTGTAACGTGTGATTGCTTCCGATAGAATCTCAGCTCTCAGTCGTAATGATAAACATTAAACAGTTAGAAAAAAAAAAAATGTAGCATCGCGGTGAACACAGACGCAATTACAATAGCGTTTCAATCCATCTTGTTATTTAATTAAAACACTCGAGGTTCTTAGCGATCCACTGTAATTGTGTCGACAGATAGATAATGAATCGCAGGTGATTCACGGTGAAACTATCGTTTTGTTCTCTTACGGAGAAACTTTTTCCTCGGTCGCAGATATATCTTCGCGGAATCACCACGTGTGTGAATTTGTCTTGTCGTTGGGTCTCGTGTCGGATAAGTTCCAAGTCTTACATCAACCGCACCCTCCTGGCAAATTTCTAAAAACCGATGCCTCCAATTTCGAGGACGATTGTCGAACGAAGAAAAGTGTGTAGCAAAATCTTCGTTACACCTGTTCAGATTTCTGATAAATTGACAAAATCGTCACTCGACACATTTACGAAGAAATGAAGTATCCGGTAGATATCGGGAATTTTCTTCGAATTGAATTTTCATCGTGACAATTTCCAGCTAGACCATAGAATTGCCGAGAATCTCTTTCTTGCTCGTGCAACGACTTTCGAACAATCGTTGTATATAGCAGGGACACACGCGAGACATTTTCAAAAGTTTCGGTCCCGAAAATCTGACGTTTCACGGTAAACACAAGGAAATGCACCTTGGCTGCAGGTGACGAGTTTAAAATTAAAGTGGAGACGGGTCTTCCAAGTCTTATATTTAGGACGACGCGCACGCGCGATCCGATTAGGAATCCCGTGGAAGACTTAGAACTTGTGGTTCCTCGAAATCCGCCGTGAGCCGCGATTTTCATCGTCACAACCGTATACACAGGTTATTCCTATTATTTCCATCGGTGTTTCCCATCGCGATCGGTGCAAAAGTTGGACCAACGCGCGCGTCACGTCGGTTAATACTCGATATCGGTATCGACGGTTGACCTACCGATCAAACTCGTTGTTTTTCGACAAAATAACAAGATGGATCTAGGGGGTGTAGATGTCTGGGGTCAGATCGCCGTGGAAACGTCTCAGATGTTCGTTTCTGAAGGTGGTGTGGTTAAAAGTCGTTTCGCGGGGACAGTAAGTGATCCAACTAATTTTCTCAAGTTTCACTCGTACAAACACTTTCGCCGTCGTCCAAATTCACTTGACAATTGAACGATACTATTTTTCGTGTGTTTAGACGATAGAGAAACTGCCAGATAAGGTGTTACTGAACGTCTTCAGCTACCTGTCCCACCGTGAGATATGCAGGGTGGCACGTGTGTGCAAGAGATGGCGGCAAATCGCGTACGACACGCGATTGTGGAAGCACGTATCCCTTAGACCGGAAATCAGCGGGTTGCACGTGAACTCTTTGGACAATCTGCTGCACTTGATCAGGTAGGAGATAGGTTGACGGTGTGACGTTGGCAAACCACCATTTGTCCCTGGAATTCGAGCCAGAAACAACTTGCTCGCAGCTTGCCAAAATGATATGTAAACACCGAAGGATACGGAGACGAGAGAAGAAACGCTGGAAAATAATGGGAATGATTCTTTAACTTGTTGCAGTACTCGTTTCGGCGCATCGTTGAGGTACATAGAGCTGCCTATAGAGTTGATCACTCACACGGTCCTCCACGAACTGGCGAACAAATGCCCAAATTTGACACACATGCTACTCGACTTCTCCACTGCCATGCAACTGCACGATTTCTCGGAGATGCAGGCATTCCCGACCAAATTGAAGTACATGTGCATCTGTCTGTCGGAAGTAATCTTCATGGAAGGTTTCATGAGGAAGATTTACAATTTTATCAACGGTCTGGAGATTCTTCACCTTATAGGTTCGTATCTGAAATCTCTGCTTGCAATCTTTCATTAAAGTAGCGAAATATTAAACTTCTGTGATAAACTTTTCAATATACCACAGTGGAGGAAGAAATTCAGAGTTGACATGATATGGCCCCGACCAACGCTCTAACTCCCTCCAATTGCTCTTTTGCCACTTGATTACGTGTATTTACGGTCCTCTTAACGCACAATCTTGCAGGAACGTACGAGAAGGTGGAGGAAGAGGAGGAAGAGATCTACGAAGTGATAAACGTGCACAAATTGAAATCGGCGACTCCTAATTTAAGAGTGATCAATTTATACGGGATCAATTTCGTGGACGATTCTCACATCGACGCGTTCTCCTCGAATTGCATCCAGCTGGAGTGTTTAGCCGTGAATTTCTGCGCCAAGGTCACTGGCTCGACCATGAAGACGCTGTTTCAGCGAAGCAGAAGATTGAAGTGTCTGCTTATGCAAGGAACAAGTATTTATTATCTTCGTTCAAGTATAAAATTGCTCATCGTCGATTTTCCAGGAATCTTGATTAGAGAAGAGACTGAATTTTTTCGCAGATCTTCAGAGTGAATACGTGATGCAAGTGGAATGGGAGAAATCGAGTATCCAAGAGTTGGACGTGACTGGAACGGATTTGTCGACGGAATGTCTAATCGACATGTTGAGCAGAATTCCAGGGCTGCGTTTCCTGAGCGCGGGCCAGTTAAACGGCTTCAACGACAGCGTGTTAAAAGCCTGGGCAGAGATGGGCAATCCGCGAAATCTGATCGCGTTAGACTTGGATAGTTCGGATAATCTGACAGACGACGGACTGCATAAATTTTTGTCGCGATACGGTCATCAGCTTTGGGGCCTCGCCTTGTCCGGCATGCCACACATCACCGACCAACTGTGGCAGAGTGTGTTGCCTATATTGACCAATGCGAAGTGAGTGAAATATCGGCTCATCCTGAAAGTTTCTGCGGTTTTAAAGATATAACTGCATTGAAATTTATTTCAAACAATTTCTACAGTGTTTGATACACTTTTGCCAATTTATCGCACGCAGAACAGTGTTCTTAGAATATTCTTGTATTCTTGTAAACGCGGAGTGAGTGGAAACAGAGGGATTCGCTGAGAAATACCAGCTCGTCCTGACAGTTTCTGCGGTTTTAAAAACCTAAGTCCACTGGAATGAAACATTTTTATTTAAGATAACTTCCATATTAATCGATGCTCTTTTGCCAATTTTGTTGCACGCAGAACAGTGTTCTTAGAAATGCAGAGTATTCTTATAAATGCGGAGCGAGTGGAAACAGACAAATTCGCTGAGAAATATCGGCTCATCCTGAAACTTGCTGCGATTTTCATTTTTATCTAAAATGACTAACAATTTTCGATACACTTTTGCCAACCTATCACACACAGAACAGCGTTCTTACAAATGCAAACTATTTTTCAGAATTCTAGTTATGGGAACACAAGAGAGACTAGGCGTGAACATCCACGTGGACCAGTTAATGGATGGAATAGCGAACAATTGTCCAAATTTAGAGCGGTTAGAGCTGCGTTGGGACCCGGAGAACCTTCGATTCTCCGACAAAAGTCAGAAAGCCATAGACATACTTCGTGTGAAGTGCATTAAATTACGGTGTTTAAGTTTGAGGTAAGTTGAATGAGTTTCGATCGAGCCTCGAATATCGAAGAGTGTCGTCTATACTTATGGATTCGAGGTGTTTCAGCGATGGAAGGTACTACGAGATAGTTAAGGCGAATTTCGAGCGTGCCGACAGGTTGACGGTTGTTCGAACAACGACATGCTGCCGAGTGTCCAACTACTATCTTCTAGCCAATTATAAGGATTTAATTTTCAATTAACCGTTCCGATATATAATTGTACATAAGCTGCGGTGGATTCATAGACAAGATTTTTTCCATAGGATCGACGAGGTACTCGAGAAGAATACATATATAAAGAAGGTAGGTCTGTCGAGGTTTAAAACGTAAGCAGGAATTTGTAGGTAAAGTTAGAACGTACGGTTAATAATGTATTTCTGTTCCAGATTGTCAATCGTGACGAACTACAATCGAATAATAAAACTACCTGCGACTATTCAAGTATTTATCCCTAGTATTACGAGAAGAAACTATGCGCAAAATACCAGATACATATTTTTTTACGCAATTTTGAAACGTGTAGCGTGAATTACATATGGACTATTTCCGGTCTTCGGTTGTTTCGTATTATTGTACTCGAACCAAGAAGAAGAAGGAAGGAAGGAAGGAGATGGAAGGAGAGTAACAAGGGAAGATCTCCAAGTGATAATCACCGATATTGACGAAACTTTGGTATATAACAGTACTCAAAAATATATTTTACACGTATTTTTTTTAAACGAAAATCCTCCACACTGAGGAAGTAAAAATCACTGTCAAAGGTGGAGGTAATAAACATATTCTATCAAATTTAGTTAATTTTTATTTTTCAAACTTATCGTTGAAGAATACAAAATTCGCCAATTTACACTAATCCTCTATCTCTAGTAATTTTCGAAATGTTAGGCTAAATATATTTACTACCTCCACAAGTTTCAGAGCCATTTTCACCCTTTCACTGTGGACAATTTGCCTATATAAGAAACTACGTGTAGAATATTTTTTGAAAAACTACCGTGTACCAAAGTTTCATCAAAATCGGTGATTACCACTTCGAGATACTCCCTGGTGAGCGCGTAACCAATGAAAACTACCACGAAAAACCTTGACACACAGAAACGTAAGACCGCGATCCATCACGTTCCGCAACATTCGTATTTAACGGAGGCGTGATCGCGATGAAAAAGTTCCTCCGCTGTATGTACAATATAAACTATACAGCGGCACGCACAATGGCCGTTCTCCTAGTGTGCTATCGATTATTCGTTAATTTATTCATGCAGCGGTGTAGACGACTACGACGACGACGTCGCACTGGCCACCGCTGGTCGGTCGATTCGCTCGATTTCATTCTCTAGCCACATGCCCAGACCCTTCGTTTATATGTTGCATTATAGTCGACGTAGAACCGTCGTGGCCGCCACCACTTTTCGCATGATTCCCGAAAAACCCACGTCTCACGTCGTGTTTCTTCCTGTTCCACGTCTCTCCCATCCAGATCTTCCCCAATGTCGGACATCGAGGAGGACCTGGTCACGAAGAAGCTGAAAATCGTCCTGGTCGGTGACTCGGGATCGGGCAAAGTGAGTTTTCTAGTGTCTTCGGCGTTTACTTTGAGAGTGAAACTAAAGAGAATCTACAGATCGCACAGTGTGTAACTTCTACAATCTTCTTTTTTTATTTCTCTAAATTTCGATGGAAGTTTTTTGGAAAAATATACCATAGATGGTATAGGAACGATTAAATTGTTCAGTGTGCCTGAGCTGCGAACAGCTAAGCAACGTATCGATTTATTTCTTCCGTGCGAAGTGGTCAGTGCCACACGATTACACGACTTTCACAGACATCGACGGTGTGGTAAAATAATTACACTTCGTTTGCTATCTCTGCACTTGTCTCTTTTCTTTGCTAAAGTTCCGATAGGACGTACAGCCAGAAATTTGTCTCGCTCAAAGTGTTGCGTATCGTCAGTGGTAAATAGCTGATAATTGAAATCCACACGGTTCACGTAAAATTGCATTTTCGTGACTCGAGCTGTTTTACATGTATATCTCTAACTGTTTGTCCCTCGTCAAAAGTCTTTTCCTGTTTAATTACTAACGCGGTTGCTTCTCGAACAACTGTACGAGATGCACTATTAATCAACGGGCGGACATAACACGCGAGTTTCGATCGACGTTGGAATTTCTCCTTGTAACAGCATACTTGAAGAGCTATCAACCTTAACAGAGGAACTCTAATTATACGAGCAAAATATGTAGCTAAAAATAAACGATATTTTTCCAACGATTTTCCTCCCTTTTATTAAAGACAGTCGATTGTTCTTTTCTTTCGGTTTGAATGAAAAAATGACAACACTCTTACTGATAGAGTAGCGATTCTGGATAACTGAAATTCAAGGATCCCTGTTTAGACGAGCATCGCCCAGAAGTTTTGCAACAACGAGTTCACCAGGCAGTACGTACCGACGTCTGGCATCGACTTCTTCCTCAAGAACATCAGCGTCGGATGCTACAAAAACGTTAACCTACATTTATGGGACGTCGGCGGACTCGCGTTACATGGAAGCATGCTGGACAAATACGTGTTCGGTGCTCATGTGAGAGAAAGAAGAAAGAGTATAGTCGATGGAAGCGATACAGTGGAATTGGGGCCTTCGTGGCCGATTAAAAGTAGCAATAGCGGTCCAGAGATCGCTGATTCTCGATTTCCGTTTGGACCCTCAAATTTTTCCTTGGTTTCTATAGTACAGTCTATGGGGAAAATGTAGGGAGGTCCTAAATTCATTCAGGCATCAAAATTTTTACATATTTCAGCACATTGACAAACGAATCGACAGAAACCTGAGAAGATAAGCTTTCGAAATCTCAGTTAGGGCCACATAAAGTGTGTCCTTTCTTTGATTCATTCCCAATATAAAAAAGTAGAATGCCGTATGAAACTCTGGGTATCGCTGCATCGATCCCTAATCTACAACCTCACTGTATCGCTTTCGCTAATTATACGCACGTTTAAATGAAATTTTAAAAAATGTTTGTAGTGTTTCTTCTTTTTTTTTCTTTAACGAAGACGTCTTTTGCAGATTATTCTTTTAGTCTACGACGTCACGAACACCTCTAGCTTCGAGGTTCTAGAGGAATGGCTAGAGAAAATCAGAAAGTTGAGCAATATCTACGAAGAAGCTCCTGTGATGGCTGTTATTGGTAACAAATGCGACATGGAGCATCAGAGGACGGTGAAGAAAGATCGAACGCATAGATTCGCCGCGGAAAACGGATTTCCGTCACACGACGTTTCCGCGAGAACCGGAGAAGCGGTAAAAATACTCTTCAAACAATGAAGTAATACAACTACTTTTGTTCTTTCTTTAAGAAACAAAAAAAAACTGGTTTTTCCAGGTTTCGTTGTGCATTGTGACGTTAGCGGCGCAGATTTTTGGTGTTCGATTAACGAAAACGGATCAGGATTATCATAAGCCTATAATAATCGCGGAAATAGGTGACACGGTTGATATGAACACGGTTCAGAAAGTTGTGAAGAGAATTCCTACGAAGAAACAAACCCAGATTCCATTTTATCCCCATTTTCCTAGCTCTAAATCAGCAGTGTGCGTGTTACAATGAAAAATGATCGAAACGAGACGCGGTTCTTTGCAATACGATGTTTTTCAGGCACAGATAAATTAGACTTTTTTTATAGAACAGAAAATAGCAGACTTCGAGGACGAAAGTACGTGTACATAAGATGTTCGAGCAGATATTTTTCGCTATTTTCTTAAATAACGTAACAAGGGGAGTTCACTTCTATTATCGAGGGGCCAACGCAAAATAAACCAAGTGGTGTCTTCGCAGTAGATTTAAAAACAGATTTATTTATTGAATAAAATCTTACTACTTGCGATAATAATGTTAATAATATAGGTCGACGTAACAATGTTAAAAATACTTTTACAATAATAGAGCAATATTATACATTACAGTAATGTACATACACTGTTGATTGAGTACATGCCATGAACTCGGTATAGAGAGACGACGTCGGTGATTCACTTTTATTTTTCCTTCTTTTCATTTCTTAAATATCGTTAAGTGCTAGGTGTGAAAAAAGATTGTTCGATATCGAGTAGTATTCGGTTGAAAGTAAATCCATGGTATGAAACGAAGCGCGGCAATCGATATTAAATATCGGTTAAGATTAAGTAAATACACGATGGCGAAACGAATGAACTCTTTTATTCGCGTTTCAAACTCACGAAATGGCATCGAAAGAGGAAAGGTTGCTCGTCCGTCACGCGAATCTCGCTGATGTATATCTACTTTTTTGTTCTTTCTTCTTTTCTTTTTATATATGTAAACCATTAATTCACTGGTTGGTTTCCTCTAATTAAACTACTTATCAATGGCACTAATCATGCAAAAACGAGTACAATACATATACAAAAAACATAAATATACAGTAGAAAACAAAACGCGTTTAACAAGAGAACGTGTGTCGTCGTTTGACTAGTAAAAAAGAAAAAAAAAAGAAAGAAACAAAGAACGCAGGTAAGGACTGCAGATATGTGCGTATTTCGTTTGGAACAATTCAGGTTTAAATAACATACGTGTAAAATGCATACATTTGAAAGCATCGAAATGGTAAAATGTTAATAAATATGGAATAAGTTAGTCGGTTTCGTTAGGAATCGAAGAGATAGAAATAAGTAAAATAGTATACGACGTATCGATATTTTAGACACAACGCAATAATTAATCAACCTTGGAGACAGCTTTAAAATTAGCACTTCGCCCTGGTGTAGGATCGATACACGTTGTACAAACTCGAAACGTAAATTCGTATACTGGAAATGCTAATTGAAAAACTATTTGTTCGATTTTTTTTTTTTTTTTCAAAATGCACAAGATGCCAAAGATTTTCATTCGAGTATTCGTTAAACGACATAAATTTCATCGTTCGCGATCCAAGGAACGAGATTAATTTTTACGGACGGTGCAGTCGATAGAATTTGATCCTCACCCGCTTGAATTCAGACAGTGAGCATAGAGTAGTCCATACATTACAACATACAAGGTGCAAAATTATAGTTTTGGTAGATTTTTATACACTATCGAATACTCGTTCTTTTTATAAAACAAGAATTTCTAAGTGTTTCGATTAATATATTCGCTTCTTTGTTTAGCCTAGTACGATGTTCAGTCTCATAGTACGCGGTATGGAAGCTATTCGTTTCGCAATTTCAATCATCATCTAACTATAAATCAGATTTTGTTAAAGGTCTTCTTGGCCATACATTCTTTTCTAAGATCCTTTCCTTAGCCACCCATAGCTGATTGAATTTATCGTTTAAAGGAGCAATATACGTTTCTAGCCATTCTTGTATGGTATAATTGTCGTATATGTTTTCCATGGTAGATCTTATATCTTTTTCGATATACATAATTTCCATCTTGTGTCTATCCAGTTCAGCAACTGCACTCTCTACATGACTAGGATTTGAGAAAGAGTATTTCAAATTGTACGGTTTCAACCACCCTTTGAATGTATTATCCTGTTCCATTTTAGTGACTTCTTGAGTTAGAGAAAATAGTCGTAATATAGCTGCATAAATAGATATACCATGATAACTACATTTGGTCCAACCATACTGAGGCTCTGGAATACTTAAAGAAATTATGCCTTCGCATTGTAACGCTTGTAATACTTGGGTAGGTACTTCTATAGGAAATCCACTTAGATCTGGAGCTCTCAATACTGCTAAGTTTACAGCAAGTGATGGTATGGCAGAAGGTAAGAGTTCACAAAGAACACTGAAATGATCGTATCTTTGCCACCCTGTTAGGATAACACCCTTAAATGTAATTTCAGTAGAATACCTATTGATTATCTCTAACCATCTTTGATGATTCTCCATATGGTAACCAATGTCAGTGTAATATCTGTCTGGTGCAGTAGCACCTTTGAAAGCTGTAGCAACCCAAACATGCTTCCAAACTGACGCATAATTTTTCCACAATTGATCTGTTAATGTTGCTCCAGGATCAGTGGTATATTTCCAAACAACAGGCTCCACCATATCGTGTAAACCACTATCCATTATTTCTTGAGGTGAAATTTCTCGAAATTCATCATCCCACATGAGAACTATAATATCTGGGTACTTGTTCTTTATGTATTTTACTACTTTTGAGACATGATCCAAGAATAACTGTTTCTTACCCCATTGTCTCTTAACCATCATATCTAAACACCTAGAGCATTCTCCAATCTGATAAACTTCATCAGCTCCAATATGCAAGTGCTTTATATCAGGATGTGATTCCATTATTTGGTCTATCATTTCATATATCAGTGGAAGAGTTTTGTTATAAGTAGGACACAGAACTTGTGGGTAACGTGGCACTTCTCTGTAGTCTTTATATTTGTCTAATTTAAGAACAAATTCCATATGACCAAAGGTTTGAATCAAAGGAATCACAATGAGCCCATTTTCTTCAGCTATCTTTTGGATATTGGCAATGTCTCTCTTGGTATAACAATTGCCTGCACTGATATTTTGTATAATTCCCTCAAAGGGAAACATATCCTCGTATTCTATAAGTATACCAGTGGCACCTAATTTCTTGAGCAAACGTAGCAGGTACTTGTAATAACTTGCTTTAGGGGGAGCACCTTTTAAATCTAAGTGCACAATTTTGTGCCCTTTATATAAGGGAGCAGTATTAGTATATACTCTACCATAATTGAAGTCACTGAATAACTTTCCACCGCCACTTTTCAATTTTCCCATAATATGAGCTTCTATTTGCTGTTTTCTGGCAATGCTATGAGGATTCTCTGTGAGGTCACTCAGTGGGTAAACTTCTTCAATTTTAAATCGCGGATTTAACTTATTGGAGGCGATGTCCTCGACCTCATTACCGAGAATATGATAAATAACAATCAACAGGGTAAAGCTGATCATTATAATGACCATTAAAGAGGCTCTGCCTCTTAGACGCGTCATGATTGTCAATCCAGCAGAACATCAAGATCGGCTCACTATATTATTATATCTGTTTAATCGAAGCTCTTGTTATTTGTAACATGATTTGATTGTTCTCAATGAATGTCGGCACTTGTGCGAAAGCGATGTATGTTTCTTTTAAGCTCGTGATTTAAATAAAACGTATCCAGTATAATTTGTCCATTGCAAAATAGTATAATATTCTTTAATTAAACGTTCTCGTAACAGAACAATACGTGCTCTTTATCACAGATTAATGACAGAAATAGCAGACCATTGTTACTGCTATATAGTGATAAACGCTATCGAGAAACAGGCTGGGCAACTGCGAATACTATCGTAAAATAACGTACACTTTCCAGTGTACACGTTGAAAAACATTTGCAACGATTTGTTTAAATCTTTACAATTTCTCGATTAAATGTTCGCCATAATTCGTTAAAATAGAGGTTAAACATATGTTAGGAACATTTTAGGGTTGACAACATGTACGTCTCTACGATTGGATATCATATCTCGATAAAAGTATTCCCTAAATGACATATTACCATTTTCTACGCTGTACACATTACTCTACTTGTAATTTCAAATTATCAATTACTTTAGAGCTTGCGTAAAACCTACCGTTAACACAAATTTATTCGTAAATTAACGGAACTAGGTAATTCCAGAAAGTTGAACTGAATACTTCACACAACGAAGACTGCATACCACTGTCGATACAACGATGTAATTAATAAATTCTCACTTACGTAGCCGTAATTCGCGTGAAAGATATTTATGAAATCAGGGCGCCAATGCCACGCACTTGACCTATAAATAACAGCACGTCATTCTGCATCGAATTTGCTTAATGAGAACCAGCAGGAGCACGATAATTTGACGACGATCTTGAATTACCACACGCTCGTCGTGATCTCGTCTCGTTTCTACAAACGTTCCTCTCAAATTTTTCCGCCATCTTCCGTTTATCGTCGAATAATAGACAAGCATGGTAACAAAGTATTTACACACGCGCACGTACTCTTAATTTACGCAGAGAATACGCATTGATTAGGCGCGTAAAATGCAGGATAAAGGGTCTATGCACGGGTGGAGAACGAAAATAGAGTTCTCGTACGTTTAAGAAGAAACGAATGGAAGACGAGCGAAACCGGAGAGGCTTGGGCTCGTGTAATCGAATCCTCGGCCGCGAAATCTTAAATCCTAGTCCTTTATCTTATTTCCAGTTTCCGCGAACCGTACGGCCACCCGTTACATACTTAATGAACGTGACTCACGTCTCTTTAGTTATGACGATAGTAGGGGAATAATTCTAGACAATAAAGCTGTTTAATGATGCCACTCTGCGGGAGTTTGAACCACGCGCTTGGGATAACCCGCGGTTTTTTGCGATTACAATTTATTACGTACAAACCGTCGAAGTCAATTTTACCACTCGACCTGTAGACTTAATCGACGGTTAATGAGTACTCGTTAATGGACTAGTTCTCGCTGCACTTTAAGAGATGCCGAAAACAATCCCCAAGCCGACAAATTAGCTCATAAAAATTTATTCCGATTGCTAATAAAATAAAAAAAAAACAAAATTTTACACCAACTTCTATTATCATTTGTATTATCGTCTCTATTTCCCTGCACAACAAGTACACGTGTTTGAACAATAAAATTTATCACTGGAAGTGATAAATCATTCGAAAAAAATTCTTCACCGACAAACACGCACGCACAATTCTGAGAGAATTTTCTCTTATGGTTAATATGCTGTAACACCACAGGACGCATAAGAGGAAAAATATTTGTCTTCGGAGGAAATCTTATTGCCGGTGTTTGAAGAGAAAGTTCGATTTTGAATTACACCGTTCCTGCGCAGTAGATCCCCGGCGCTGCGCAGTTACCGATCAATAAGCGTGCACGGAGGAATGGAAAGCTACTACCTCGATGCTAGTTGTTCCTGATCGAAACGTTTTAGGTATGAAAAACATCACGGTACCTATATACCAACTGGAGTAACCGAAACGAACGAGTTTCTTTTTTTCTTTTAATAATTCAACGTCGATAAGCGACGTCTTCGAGAAGAGAAGTCAGAGAGGAGCAGTAAAGATCGAGCATCTTTTTTCCAAGTTATTATTATCGGTGACGATGGAGAAAAAAAAACGACGTTCTCGGCCTCGTCGAATGAAACTGTTTAATTCTCTCTGTACCTCGAGCTCGTAACTGGGGTCCCTCGAACCGCAAAGGCGTCAACGCGCCTTCATAGCAACCGAACCAGAGAGACAAAGACTCTGCTTCGACGATTATTCAGAAATCATGACTCAAGTCCGTGCGCGTACACGTTCTATCTATGTTTGCACAGTTTTTTCTTCTCTCTCTCTCTCTCGCGAGTGTGTGTATGTGCAGCTGCGCGACGAGAAAAAAATATAGCAATCGTATCGAGGGGGGCGTAGAGGGGAAAATCCGTGGATCGTAGATCATTGCACCGGTTCGTTTACCTAGTACAGTACCTGCTGATTTGTGCATGCTTTGACAACTAGTGCGTATCATCTGTTATCTGTGTTTACCATTCCACCGTGCAATTAAACGTCTATTCGAGCAACCATATCCCCGAGCATTAAGAGATAGACAGAGCGAAGATGAACTTGCTCGATCGAATAAATAGAGCCTCCTTTATGCTCCGCGCGGTTTCAATAAAATCGCGGTGAACATTCTTCGCGATTAACATTTCGTCAGATCGACGCCTCGATAAAAGAGCGAAGAGGAGGGAAAAAAATGTAAATCTGTTATTCGTCGCGGTATGTCGAATGTAAACAGAGAGTTCGGTGTTTGTGAACGTTGATAACGCGAGAATAAATGACACGGTGAACGGGTGTTATATTCGACGATCGTTTTCGGAGTAGGCAACGTTACGTGCCGAAGACAACCGCGTATACTTGCGAGTACCAACACGCGTTGCACATTCCCACCTCAGGAGTAGATTCTCGATCGTGGAGCGTATGCTGGTTTCGTTATGCGCAACGTTTCTCGAGAGTCTTTCACGGCTGACAGATCCGGCGATAACGCGTTGTAAAAGCGATGCTGAGCGCAAGAAGCGGGCAATTACACGGGGAAACGTTTCTTCGGGCCTCTTTTATTGCTGTCGAAGTGGTATCGGTGAACAAGACCGTCTTTTGTCCGTGTTTCGCCAGCCAACAAAAACTATTAACGTATCAATCGAAGTTACTCCAGTAGCGATGTATCGGTCTTAACTTACGAACTTATCGTACGAAAGAGTTGAGCGGAAAATGAAGAGGAAGAAATAGGTTAGATTGGATCGAATCAATTGTATCTTGGCTGACAGTATTTCATTCGAAAGCGAAATTGCGCGTAAACAAAAGAACGAGAGTGTGCGCGATTTTTTTTCGCTGACAATGAGGAAACCTTGCGGCCGCTAACGCACACACACCGATGGCTTTCATTAAAGGAAGGGCACGCACTCCCGGGGCTCTTTCGAGTCGTCTGGAACCTCCAGAGATAACGTGACATTACGGTCAGCCGTGCGAGCAGTATGCGCGCGAACGTCGGAGAACGCGCACCTTCTTTCCTTCTTTTCCGTTCTTCTTTGTTTCATTTCTCATTCAACCATTGTTTCGTTTAAACGATCCTCCATCGTTCGTACAGTGTGAAACTTTTCTCTTCACCGTCGTTTCTAACTCGTACTCCTCCCGTTCGAATTTCTATAAAAAAGAGAAAAATGCAGTGAAGTGTGTGGTTTGGAATCGGTGAAAATTTACACTTTATCGATAGTGTAAACGGGTGTGAAACTTCGCAACTGCAAATCCGTAAGTCTTTAACTTTCTTCACCTTTCCGTCCAAACTGGTAGCTGTTTCTCCTTTCTCTCTCTCTCCCTCTCTAATGTAACACGCTGAAACGTTTATCTCCGCGAGTAGAAAGAAGGAAAAAGAGAGAAATAGGAAAAAAGAGAATGCGGGAAACTTGCGTCTCGATGCCAAGGAGCGGCGTATGACAAGCGCGTTCGACATCCACCAGAGGCGAAACAGGAAAAGTGAAAGGACCTCGTAGACTTCCCGTAGAAACGATCATGGTGCACGTGAGATGCTGCTGTTTCGTACGTGCGAGCCGTAAAATCGCGATCGACACTAGGATTTTCTCGATCGACTTCTCTCTCTCTCTCTCTCTCTCTCTCTCTCTGTGAACGTTAAAATCGCGCGTTCTTACGATCGATGAGCAAAAGAGAGGACGAGAATAGAGAAGGACGTAAACGGCGAAACGATGGGGCGAACAAGGTGGTCGATTGAATTGCAAGTGGCATATACGCGCGGAAAAGTGCAACGATCTACGTGATCGTCGAACCCGGGGTCTGTTGAGGCTCGGATGACACGGCACGTTTCGAATTATCATTTTGCTCTTCCTCTTCGTATATATACGTCGACGACGCGCGGCGCCAGGGTTTGAATTAAAAATAGTTTCGAGTTGGCGCAAAAACGCATCGCGGAATTTTTCCTATCTCCGTAAAACAGAGTGGAACGTCTGTGAAACAGATTTTACGATGTACAGAGTCAGTTAGAAATATTTGGCTCTTCGTTTATTCGCGGGGTACTCTGCTCTGGGTGATTTTCATTTTGGAAATTTGCAAAGGGAAATTGACGAATTATGGTAGATTTTGATGAAGAGATAAATCTCTCTCTCTCTCTCTCTCTCTCTCTCTGTGAACGTTAAAATCGCGCGTTCTTACGATCGATGAGCAAAAGAGAGGACGAGAATAGAGAAGGACGTAAACGGCGAAACGATGGGGCGAACAAGGTGGTCGATTGAATTGCAAGTGGCATATACGCGCGGAAAAGTGCAACGATCTACGTGATCGTCGAACCCGGGGTCTGTTGAGGCTCGGATGACACGGCACGTTTCGAATTATCATTTTGCTCTTCCTCTTCGTATATATACGTCGACGACGCGCGGCGCCAGGGTTTGAATTAAAAATAGTTTCGAGTTGGCGCAAAAACGCATCGCGGAATTTTTCCTATCTCCGTAAAACAGAGTGGAACGTCTGTGAAACAGATTTTACGATGTACAGAGTCAGTTAGAAATATTTGGCTCTTCGTTTATACGCGGGGTACTCTGCTCTGGGTGATTTTCATTTTGGAAATTTGCAAAGGGAAATTGACGAATTATGGTAGATTTTGATGAAGAGATAAATAGTTTCTTTTGATAAATTATTTGCGGTGTTCTGTATTTTGGGCAATTTTCATTTTGGAAATTTGCAAAGAGGAGATTAACGAATTATGGTAAATTTTGGCGAAGAGATAAATAGTTCGTCGAAACTTGGAAGTGAAGAAAGAAGAAGCAACGAGGAAATAATGACCGGTAGTGTATGCCAGATAAGACACTAAGCGGATGGGAGGGTCCTTATTTCTAAGTAAATCACTTTTAACGCGCAATACATAGGTATCCAGAAGCATTAGCGTTAAGTATTCTCGGAGTAATTTGGAAGTCTCTAACTTGACCCTTCGTTGACCACTGGGACGTATACGTCCGCTTGAGTACTTGAATAAAAATTCATCTTAATTTAACGTCCGTTACAGAAACGACGATCGGTAGATATATAAAGAATTCTCGGAGAAATCCCGTCACTAAAGAGTTAACGTCGAATATATTAATACAGACCACGATACAGCGATCGTAAAATCGGTCAGAAGTCAAACTAAACGTCTCGTCGAGACAATCGAATTGACAGAAATACGAGCAGCAGATGACCTAAAATAAAGAAATATCTCAAACTCTTCGACAAATTTAACTTCGCCATTTAAATACCTCTTCAGCTACAAAAACCAACTGGAAACATTCCAAAGAGCAATTAACATTCGCAAATTCTCCACTTGCGAATGAAAATACCATTAGTCACAGAACTCGTCGTTCTTTTATTCTGCAGAGATTCAAAATGGAATACAGTGTATGGTCCTAAGTGCGGCGATATCAATCGGCCCTGCAGTTCGAGGATTTAATTTACGACCTCGCTGTATATCGATGCTCCGTCCTGTTACAAGGTTGAAATTATTTTAGAACCGTGACTGCCGAAGATTTTCGCGAAAAAAAAAAAAGAAAGAAGTTCGGAATAGACTCTCTTTGGCCCGGTACGATTCTTAAAGTCGAGATCAATGCTCGAATACGAACTATAACCATTCGGGGCGTAGCTGTTGGCTTCCGCAGCAGACGCGCAAATCGCCCGAGGATTTTCTAGGTTCCGATGCGCGGTAGTCGTTAACCTGGCTGTTATCCAACGCGGTTATCACGAACGTGATCGAAACGTCGGACTTTCCAGAATGACGGCGTGCCGGTTCCGTTAACGATCATCCAACGCGGGAACAGTGACGCATGCATTCCAACGAATTAACTTGGAAATGTTGTGCGGGAGATCTCTCGGCTGGCTCCCACCGAGAGTACCAACACGTGTCCTCGTAGTGTTGCGCCTGGACGTCGCCGAGTTCGGTTTCTTCGTTTTTACGTGCGACTGGGTGTTGAACGGTTGGTGGTGAAGTTAATGAATCGTGTAAACAGAATAATATTGGTGAAATTCGAGCTGATGGTTGTGTCTGCTTCGCGGGGAAACGATTACTGGTAACCTGGCGATGGGAATGAGGTGTTATTTAACCCTTTACACTCTGAGTGGTTCTTTATGTCGGTCGGAAGTCACGGAATGGTTTTGCGGGACATTTTTCGAAATAAAAGGGTCTTGGAATTTACTTGTTTTGCAAGGTTTTTTTTATTGTAGTGTAATGAAAGTTGGGTGGAGATGGGGAGTTTGTGAAATATTTGATATTTTTAATTTGTGAACACGTTGGGAGTGATAAAGGGTTAATAGTTAACCTGTGACTTGTGACATATTCGGTATTTTTGAATTGGGAGTGATTCTGCATTTGATCTCCCGCGGTGAAACTTTCGAAAACCAAAAGTTACACTTTGAAAAACAGAAAATTATAGATGCTTGTGAATTTATATTTTTTATATCTTTTTTTAAGGACGGATCAAAGGGTTGATATGTAACCCTGTGACTTGTGAAATATTCGGTATTTTCGAATTGAGTGATTCTGTATTTGATCTTTCGCAGTGAAACTTTCGAAAACAAAAAGTTCTTTTTAAGTTAATTTAATTTGCTTTAATATAAGTAAAAAAGGGTTGTAAAAGGGTAAATCAAAGGGTTGATATGTAACCTGTGACTCGTGAAATATCCAGTATCTTCACTTACAGAATTCGCGAAGAAAATGATTCTGCATCATTCAGAATTTGTACATCTCCAACGTTACGTGACATGAATATTCATGTTAAGCGTCTATCGCTTCTAACTATCAGTGATTCATCGACGAGTGTTACAGTTTAGAACACAGAATATTCGACGAGACACAGGTGAAGAATTAGAACAGAACAATTGTCATCCGTTTCCAATCGATGCGCCACAGAGGTGCTACTTGGAACCGGTGCACAATTCCTTCTCGCGCTTATTATCGAACCTTTCCTCACGAGAAACGTAAGACTAACTAAACCGAGTGACTTGAGAATTACCGGTAACTCGATTCGGAATTCGAGGTGTGCGTAACGTTTATCATTTCCCGGTAGGTAGCGCGTTATCTTAGCGTACCGAGTAGTTCGCGGATTCGTGGACCTCGAGATTAGTCACGAATACACGTTTCGACAGTGGGTGGCTATTTCTAACGTGGCTTATGGCTGCAGGGGGTGAGACCGATACGACTATTTTTAGGAAACGATGTTATTAACCCTCCTGTGTCCCTTTCGCTACACTTCAATAGGAATACCCTTACGTGATAAATATAGCATCATTCATCGGGAACCATTTTCCTTGGATCATTGTCACTCACACGTTTAGCATATTCTGAGAATGACAGAAAATTCACGTTACTGGCAGAGTAGATCACAGTCTGATCGTTGAAAATTAGGTATAAACAAAAAGGAAATTAGCGTATTCTGAGAGTGACATAAAATTCGCGAAGGTCTGGTCATTGAAAATTAGGTATAGACGAAAAGGAAAATTAGCATATTCTGAAAATCACATAAAATTCGCGAAGGTCTGGTCATTGAAAATTAGGTATAAACAAAAAGGAAATTAGCGTATTCTGAGAGTGACATAAAATTCGCGAAGGTCTGGTCATTGAAAATTAGGTATAAACAAAAAGGAAATTAGCGTATTCTGAGAGTGACATAAAATTCGCGAAGGTCTGGTCATTGAAAATTAGGTATAGACGAAAAGGAAAATTAGCATATTCTGAAAATCACATAAAATTCGCGAAGGTCTGGTCGTTGAAAATTAGATATAAACAAAAAGGAAAATTAGCGTATTCTGAGATTGACGTAAAATTCGCGAAGGTCTGGTCATTGAAAATTAGGTATAGACGAAAAGGAAAATTAGCATATTCTGAAAATCACATAAAATTCGCGAAGGTCTGGTCGTTGAAAATTAGATGTAAACCAAAAAGGAAATTAGCGTATTCTGAGAGCGATATAAAATTCGCGAAGGTCTGGTCATTGAAAATTAGGTATAAACAAAAAGGAAATTAGCGTATTTTGAGAGTGACATAAAATTTGCGAAGGTCTGGTCATTGAAAATTAGATATAAACGAAAAAGAAAATTAGCATATTCCGAGAATAATATAAAATTCACATCACTATTCAGTACAGTAGCTGAAAGTCTGATCATTGGAAATGAAATCTAAGCGAAAAGGAAAATCAGTATATTTCGAGAACGACATAAAATTCACATGACCACTACGCTAACTAAAAAATTGCTCGTTTAAAAACCACGTATAAACGAAAAGTGAAACGTTACTTGTTCACAGAGGCGACATGAACAAAACGGAGCTGAACATCGTGTTGAGCACCGAGCCAGCGAGGACATCTTCAAGCGTAATTCACTCGCACATTCCAGTACCGAGGATATCAAATGCGATTAAAGCCCAGGAAAGATGTCCTCCTCCGCGAAGAGGCTCGTTCGAGAAATTATCCAGAGGTGTGTCTGTCGCGGCTCAAAGAGCCTCCTTCGAGAAGCTCGACGCCTCCGTTCAACAGCAACAACGTACAACCACGAGGAACAATAATTTGTCGAGCTCCAGTATCGAGATGCGAAACACCGAGACCGAGAAACTCTGTTCGGCCAGCACTACCATAAGTAACTGGAAAACGAACGAACAGATCGCCGGGGCGAAATTAAACAGGAGCAACAGCCTGGAGGGCAAATGGAGGAGCAAATACGAGGACTCTGAGAAGAGGAGGAAATTGTTGCTACAGAAGAGCGAGGCTGGTAATTAATAATTAGCAATAAGTTTGGCGGGATAATGAGCGTTTGTATGGGGGCCGCCTAAAGTCGTTACCGAACTTTATTATGATTCCATTAGTCATCATTAACGAAGTGACGAAACACCGCTTCTTCCTCTCGCTACCAGCATTCATTTGATTAAACAGCTATGATAGGAACTCGGTAAATATGGAACGTCGCCTGTATCTGCCTTTTGCTGCGTTTATATCTCTCGGTTTTTTTTTTTTTGGAAATTTAGTTTACGAACTTGAGATCGTCGGAATTTTTCTCTTCGTTCTTCGAAAATTTTCTCTTCGTTGGTATTCTCTTCGTCGGAATTTTTCTCTTTTTTCTCTTCTTTCATTTTTTCTTCATTCATCGAAATTTTTCTCTTCTTTCGTTTTTTCTTCATTCATCGAAACTTTTCTCTTCTTTCGTTTTTTCTTCATTCATCGAAATTTTTCTCTTCTTCGTTCATCGAAATTTTTCTCTTCGTCGGAAGAGATTTCGTCGAAATTTTTTTCTCTTCTTTCGTTTTTTCTTCGTTCATCGAAATTTTTCTCTTCGTTAATTTTCTCCTTTTTTCTCTTCGGTCATCGAAATTTTTCTCTTCGTTGGTTTCTCCGTCGTCGGAATTTTTCTCTTCCTTGGATCTCTTCTTTCGTCGGTCCCGGTGACATTTCGACGCGCAGAAACTTCGTTTTCTGCGCATCGATTGATCTGTTATTGCTTGGTAAAAGACTTACGTAAAAACTGCATGACATACTGAAGAGGAGGCTGGTAACTCGAAAGAGATATAACAGCGAGAGGGAAGCGGCTGGATGCGTGATTGTAGTTCACGGCCAATCGTTCCGTAATGCAGCCTAACTATTATTATTCGGTCGTGATTCACTGCTGCATGCAAAACGAACTCCGTGACGTTTTCTTAGTCAGCGGGCATACGCGATGGAATTATAAATTGATCGGTATAGAAAATATCGCCTGGGCCCTCCTACGTCACGTTTACACTCGTGAGTGCATTTACAATGAAATTCTTGACCAAAAAAGAAAAAAACGTCTATCTCGTCGCAGCTAGCAGAGAACACACCGATCTCGAGAAGAAGTATCAACAATTGCAGAGACAAAATAACACTCTGCAGACGCAGGTTCAAGAGAAAGAACAGAAACTTCAAAAGTTGCGAACAGGTAATTATCTACAAGTTCTATTCAATTTTTAAAAGTAACATTTCAATTCTCTTCTCAGTTTCCGAAGCAGTTTGCAAGGAGTACGAACAATTGAAGCATCAATATGACGTCGAAACGGGCGCCATGCACAAAGCGATGCAACAAGCGTCGCAGGTAAATGTGAAACGATCAATTTCACTATATTTTCCCCCATTTACTGGGTTACTAAATCGACGAATTACAGTGGTACAGGCAGAATCGCGAGCTGAAGAGACGATCCCAGATAATAACGCAGAAACTGTTACAATCGAATCCCGAGGGGTCGTTAGATCTGGAGATCTCCGACGAGGTTGACTCGAATTTCGAAGATCTCGATCAGCTGAGAGAAACGGTGAAAGGTAAATGGAGATTTCTAGCTTACGGTTTCACCGTTAATTATTCAAGCTACTTATAAGAGTGGGTAATTTGCAGAATTAAGCAAGGAGATAGCGAGGCTTCAGACGGAGCTGCACTCCGCTCGCCTTCAAGAGTTTGAAGCTCAAGAGCAGGTGACGCACTTGACCACACAGTTGGAGGAGGAAAGAACCCTCAGGCAAAAATGTAATTAAAACGAAGAAAAGGAAACAACATCCTCGGAACTATCTCTCTCTTGTAATGCTCTTTTTTTTTTTATTAACGAAACTTTTTCTTGTTTTCTCTCTTGTTCCGCGGTGCAGGTGAAGAAAAGGTGAACGAGATGAAGGTGCACAAAGAGAACATGGAAAGGGTGACGAAGATGGTGGCGGAGGAGGTGCAGGCGTTGAAGGCGCAATGCGATCGCGAGAGGGAGAACGCGAAGATTATGAAAATCGAGGCAGAAAGGGTGAGAGGAGAGATTCTATATCGTACACCATTTTCTCGGATCATCGTCGTGAACAATTTAAGCGAGAATTTTCGTTGCGGCGACAGGTGCAGAAGGAGAGAAACGTGCTGGCTCATCAGAGCGCACTCCTGATGGCGGAAGTTGGCGACGACCCTAATGGACGATTATTGACCGTTCTCCAAGAGGTGGAATCGTTGAAGAGATTACTGGAGGAGGAGCAACAGAGCCACGCTTCGCAGATACAAACGTTGGAGGAGAAGCTCGAGGAGAAAGAGTCGAACGTCGAGTTCGAAATAGTGGAGGAAAAGTTGAAGCTGGCCGAGTCGGAGCTCGATGTCGCTACGCAGAGGGCTGAAAGGGCGGAGAAGTTGGTGGAAACTCTCGAAGAGCTGGTGCAAAGTTTGAAGGTGAAAATCGGCGAACTGGAAGAGAAGCTTTCCAGGCCACCGCCGCCTCCTTTGCCGCCCCCGCCGCCGCCGCCGATGTTCAACAACGGTGGACAGTCGTCGATCAAGTTGCTGACGAAAGAGAAAATGAATTTGGAACGGAACGCGGTGACCGATATGGAGAACATGCTTGGAATCTCCAAGAAAACACCGACGGTTGCGCAACAACCTGGTAATTATGTTTCTCGGATTTCGCAGCTCGTTGAGTAACACGGAGAGAACAGTGTCGAATGCGTAATTTGAACTTTTTTCTTTCTCGATCTTCTCTAGCCATCGACGATATTATCAATCAGATAAAAGGTGGACGCTTCACGCTGAAGCAGACAGACGTAAGTTCTTCCTGGACGTTTCCTTTTTCTTCTCTTTTTACACGTCTGAACTTGCGCGTCTGACGAGGGAATGATTCATTGCAGAAACAAAGAGAGGAGGAGAGGAAAAGGCGACAAGAGGCGGAAAGTGCGCCGCCCGCTGTCTCGGAGATGTTAAATATTTTAGGCACCATGAGAAGGAGAGCCAAGCCGGTCAAGCAATCTTTACAAACAGCAGACCAACCGACATAAAAAATAGACGGTGTTAGTAATGCGCGAGAAAAATTGATTTGTTAAGTCTCAGGTGTCTCGAGTGTTATTATTGGTGCATTATTCGCAACGCGTTATTTCTTCTTCTTCTCTTTTTCTTTTCTTTCTTTCTTTTATCAAAGATCTGTTCTACAAGATTACTGTTTATAATGATAATTATTTATTTAGTCGTAAAATAAATTTTTTACCATTGAATAAAATATATATATATATACATAGTATACGTTGACAGTTTTGTAAAGTGTTCCGAGTATCCGCGGTAACGTGCGAGACGTGTTCTTAAGTATAAAATAAAAACAGTGAATAAATAAAAGACGGTTAAAGGGCAAGTGACGGGAGACAGGTTGCAGTAAGCAGTATGAAAAGGTGTATTATAAAAAGCTGATTACATGTACTGTAAAATACAGTAGTTTGTTGTACAAAAGATCGTCAAAGAAATTATCTTTGAAAAGCGTATACCTTCCTTCAATACACCAAAGGAAGGATTTTTTCTTAGGAATATGAGATGAATTAACGTTAGTCCTTTTAGATTGATTAAGAAACATGGTTTTTTATTTTGTCAATAATTGGTTGGAGTTTGGAAGCTTCGAATAGGAGCACCCTCCTGTAAGGAACCATTTCATCATCTGCCTCTGTCCATGTTCCAGACAAACCACTGTCTGACTCCTTTTCAACCGAGAATTCAAAGTTGACTGTTGCCTCCTCTGCGAAAATTTCTTCCTCTGGATTACTCCATAATATAGCTGGTTCCTCTGTGTTATCTTTCTTCTTGTGTTTAAATTTCTTTTCTAGATTTTTATCTTCTGTTTTGTACAGTTTGCAGATCAGTATGTAATATGAAAAGTTGAAAGGCATTTTTTTGTTGTTTGCTCTCTTTATTTCAGAGATTAAGTTCTCCAAAAGTGGCACAGATATTTGTGCTGGAATGTTGACAAATCTTTCATTGATCAACAAGCCTATGGCTTCTGAGTCATTTTCAAGGACATGCTTTATCATGGCATTTGCTGAATCTGTGGCATGTTCATTTGCCAGTTGCTTCAGTAACTCTCTGAGTTGTTGTATACAAGCATAATTCTGAAGGAAAGAATGTCACATGGTTAGCGATACCAGGTACTAACAAAACAGCTTGTGCACATTGTACTTACCTGTCCACTAGATAAATTAATTACTGTAGTAACACCATAGACATCATCTATGTCAATCTCTTCGTCATCTGATCCAGCTACATCGTCTGATTGTTTAACAACCGAGCCCACATAATTTTGTGAGATGATTAATTCTGTCAGACCACCTAAATCAATGTGAGCTTTCAAAAATAATTGCTGTAAAAGGGTCTTAATGCCATGAAAATCTGGGTCTAATGGATTTCTTCCTTCAAAGTCTACTTGAATTACCATTGCCTAATTAGAAGGATTTATATTAATCAACATCTAATACTTACTTCATTCGTATAATACGTTAAATAAAATATAAAGTTTTGAACGATTTATTTAACTTAAGTACAGAATATAATTCGAAACGAACGATCCATATTTTCTTTGCACTTTTTCGACGCAAATTTTTTACGAAAAAAATATCCATTGTCAGAAAAAAAAAACTTACTTAACAAAGCCCCTACGGAATGACTACCCGTCTGATGACAATGACAGTTGGGTAAATAATTTGCAAAAATAAACAAATTTTTTACCTTTTCGGACTGTACTTAATCGTTAAAATTTATCGACGAATATCGACATCGTTAACGAAGATTTTAAACACAATTGAATCAACGACCGCGTGCTCGAAAGTAAGGTTAAACTTGACCAATGACGTTTCACGTTGGTATCTATAATGTAAATTTCTTACATGTTCCTCCAGCGATCTTTGCTCGTTATCCTCACTGTTCGACGAGCTCTGATCATCGTCATCGCTACTTCTATCCTCCGTATTTCGTTGAACCTCACGTCTCTTTACCGGGGCAGCCATTGTCACAAACTGACGGTTCAGCCGCACTCAGACCACGTGACATGCCATCAGCGCGATAATTCACGAGACCTTTAAAAACAACGAGCGACCAATCAATAATCACTCGTTCGAGTACAATATTGTACGTCTATTTTTATTCTCTAACAAAAAAATTACCGCGAATATTTTATTCTATTTTATTCCGTAAAAAAAACTGCGACGTATGAATACTGCGTATTACATATTGCGTATTACGATCGAAATATTTCGAATATCCAAAGAACAAACGTATTTTAGCACCTAGTAATAACAAGGGATGATAATACGTGATATCAACGTCTCAATATTCCTTTTACGTTGCAAATTAAATTTTAATACAAACAATGAGATCTTGAACTGGTTTCGACTAGTTCGAATATTTGTCAGCAGATGACGCGTCATGTTCAATTTCCCCTCAACGCGGGGCGAGCAATTAGTCGCGGCTCATTTAACGCGCGGGAGTGTTGTATGTTCAGTGTGGTACAAATTTACAAGCTTTTTCTGCCTCGGGGAAATGTCGCGGGGACAAGAAAAAGGGTAAGTGAATTTGACGAACTTTTTTGAATGTCGTAACGACACCAATTACGCCGGTGTATAAGAAATAGTAAATCTTCTTCGCGGTAGCAGTAATGGTCGCAAATTTCGTATCCACCGCTACGGAAAGTCTTCTCAATTCGTCATGCGCTTCGAGCGTGCACCGTAACTTGTTCTTTCTCAAAACAAAAGCTTCCTCGCGTAATTTACACGTCGCTCTTCGAAACGAATCTCAACGAACGACAATTCACGTTGCGTTAACGAAAAAGAAAAGAGAACGAATCAACGATAATTGCTCGTTGGACAGGCGGCCATATTGTGGAGGGAAAAATTTGAATTTCGAACGTAGTATTGTGTGCAGTGAGGCGAAGGCGCGTCCGTCGTCGGCACTGCAACGCCAAAATTCGATTAAAGTCCTCGCGCATGGGCCGAAGGAAATCCTGTTTTCTCAAATTTCCCGGAGTCTGTCAGGTGGCACCACGGCGTTCACCGGTCCGGGATACATCGCATCTTACAATACGTAGCAGTGCGATCGTTTTTTCTAGGTTATAAAAACACGGAAGCCCGTCGCGTCTCCCCGCGAGTAGAGAGAGAGTAAAAATATTCACGCGAAAAAGACAACCGCGGCCCTTTTTGTCGTGCCTTCCCCCGTGAGATTTCGCGAGTGCTTTGAGCTGTGGCGGGCGGTGAGATGGCTGTCTCTCTTTCTCACTTCTACTACCTTCTATATACATATATATATATGTCTCTGTTTCTTTCTCTTTTTCTGGTGTTTTTATAGATGTCGGCTGAATAGATGTCTCGAACCATGTATATCTACCCTTGCCGCGATTGTACCTCGCGATACGCATACAACGTGTGTGTGTGTATATATATATATATATGTGTGTGTATCATGTATCGATGCATACAATGCACCGATGCATCAGGGATCAGCTCGATTATCAGCTACCGTAAACGGAACTAAATATAATTCGAAATTTTTTTCACGTGACGCGAAGAAAGCACGAACGTTCTCAGCTTCGCTTCTTTCTCAACGTGCAACATTTTTTTCTACGTTTCTTTTTCTTCGTCATCGATTCTCAGTCTCTTTCGTAACAGCGCGAACGTTAATTTATCACGTATGAAATCATTACGAGGAACAATCACTCCTTTTCAAGCGAAACTAGAGCGAACCAGATGTATAATTTAAAACGTCGTTATATTATACCATAGAACTAACGTTCGTTTAATTCACATATCGTTCACTCGTAGTAAACGCGTTTAACGTGCATTCTCGGTACAATAACATATGTTTCGAGTAATCCTCTTACGATTATACTCGATGCAACGTTATCGTTTCTCGAACGTGTAATTAACGCAACTGTGTTCTCGGTAAGAACAACCGAGAGCGGATCGATCTTACCAAAGCTAACTAACGTTTCGTCGTCTTTTCTTCTCGCGTATTCAATGGTGAATCATTGGGCTGACCTGTATATGTATATATGTATATATACGACTGCAATGTTTTTTCGTTTCTTGGCTGTTCGGTGTTTTCTTTACCGCTGTCCCATAGCATAGCTGTCTCATCTGCCTTGATCTGTACATTCCTTTGCGTTCCGTTTGTGTTCTCTCTGCTATCCCCCGCGAGACACGTCTCCGCGGAAATTTCCCAATTTACGAAACGTCTTTTCTCATTTTCCCTTTCGTGCGACAAATCCATCATCGAGATTCCCTCTCGAACATCCCACCCACACGCACGTTGCTTCTCTAGAACGTGAAAGAGAAAGGACAGGCTGCAGAAGAGTGTGCGTACACTATTAGTACTGCGGACCGCGCATATACAGTAGTGCACACACGAGCGTCCGCGTTTTTGCACACTTAAGCGTCCGTCGTTATCCCCAGAAATTCTTGGAAATGGGACTTCGGAGTGGGGTTCGAGCGTGCCGAGTGAAGCAAAGTAATTCGATATCGACTCCTGAATGGGAACATATCGGTATCCCACTCATACACATCTCCTCTCTTTTCTTTAGTTAAATTCGCAGAAGTCCCCACTTAAGCGTCCCGACTGCGGACGCTTATGTGTGCACTTACTGTACATAGGATCGCCGGGTTGAATAGCAGGCGATCGAACGCGATTGCCGATTAATTGCGTCGTTCCTCCCCTCTTCTCTAATTCGATAGCCTGCTACTGATAACAAGCAAACCACCGTGGCTCGTTTGATACGCGGGGACACGAGGAGAGAGCCAGGCACGCGTTTCACGGTTTAGCTAGCGGCCAGGCCAGGCCAGAGATGATGTTATAATTTCAGATCTCGTTAGCTCGCGGGATTTGGTTTATTGATTTCTCTCCGCGACCGTTTTCTTCGGGAACCACGTTCTCTCTCTCTCTCTCTCTCTCTCTCCACCTCCACCAGCTCCACCACCCTCTGCTTCCACCCTCTCACGGTTTAACGCGAAGAGACCACTCGAAATTAGACCAAGATCGAGCTGTCCTCCGTACAAATGTTTACCTAGAGACGAGAACGCAATCCCAGACGGAGATTTCTTCTTCTTCTCAACGTCGTCGGCCACGGTGCTGGTATTAATCAGCGGAAATTCGGACAAACCCGCGTAACACCCCCTAACAGTTAATCGTTTATTGATTTCGAACGTGCTGCCCTAGACTGTTCTATTTTATCCGAGCTACACTTTTCTCCTCGTCCTCCTCACGTTGTATTTCGTTGTGACAAATCTGGTTGTTATTTGTTTTTCTAGTTTTACTGTTTATATTGGGTACAACGGTATAATTGGTATTTTAGTGCGGAGGAAAATAGTGTAGTGTCTATTAAGTAGACCGAGTAGTTATCGCGGTTCGTACAGGAGGCGTGTTCTTCTTTTATTTTTCCGCTTCCTCCGAGGGTGGGAATTACAGGGCGAAACGAATGAAATTAAGCCATATGGTTATATCGGTGGGGTGTGCTCGGCCCGATGCGCGGCGCAACTGGTTGATTTATCGGTGCTTTCGCGTAGCGAAAACTAGCAAGAAGGCCGAATTGGATTACGCTGCGTGCACAAATTGCTTTATTCAAATGCAATTTAAGGGTCGTGCGCGTCTTTCGCAGACTGCAAAGGAGAGTTTAAAGAGGCCATTGTGTTAGACACCGTTCTCACCTATATATATATATATTCATACACACTGTGTACCGGTTTATCGATTTCCCTCGCGTTATGTTTTACCATTTTGCAATGCAAACATTCTTTTTTCTTTCTTCTCTAATAATTACCTCTCTCGAAAGTAATGAAAACTTGTTTCTCCTATTTCGCGCGAATACCAAGCGGTACTACTTTCCAATTCGTAGAGCCATTTTTTTATCGAACACCCGCGCGACGAATTTGCAAGAAAGGGGGAAGAATCTATTTGACCTTTCGAGGGAAACTGCCGGTGTGTTAACGTAGGTGGACGTTAAAATGATCTGGAGACGACGTATCATCGACGTCGATGCTTCTTTCCTCCTTCGTTTCCACATCGAACCACTTCCAACCTACGTCGCAATACGTCACAGCACGTCAAGGTATTGCCCTAGTGCGTAGGTGGAGCTTTGCTTTTCATTCGAAATTTCTCTCTTCGTCTTCCTCCTCCTCTTCCATTGAAACAAGCTCTGATCGAACGATTTTTCACGAACGATCGAGAATCCGCGAGAAACTGGCTTATCAATTCGCTTCTCCATACAGGGCGGGGTGCGAATATCGTATACAGCTGGATTACCACAGATTTATTCTCGTTTCTCACCCTCGATACACCTAACCCCGAAACCGTTAAGGAACACTTTAGCGAATCACGAGTCGCTAAGTTCCCTTTCTCCTTAAATTGCAGTCAGCTTTCTCTATTCTCGCCGCGATTTATTCAAACGACCACCGCCCTAATGTCGAAACCGTGATTCCTCCGAATTCCATCCCCTCCCACTGTTTCTTCGGCAATCTTGGAAACTTAGACTCGGAGGGTTTGTAATCCTTCGGTTTTTCCAGGAGGAATTCTCTCGTGACGATACTACGTTGATATCGCTGCTTTCTTCCGCGGATTCGGGGGGTTGAAATGTTCGGGATTACGGAGAGACTTACCCTCGATTAAACTGAACTTGCTATTATTTCAAATATTCGTACGATTGCTCCGTAATACCGTAGGAAAAGGAAAATATCCTCGGTTTCCTATACACTCTGTGCAGGCAAGGTTCGCCTAGTAAGAGCTTCTTAAAGTATCTAAACGATAAGATACTTACTATTCAACAGAAAGTGGAGGAACAGATTTCACGCAGCGGGCTCGAGTGCCATTCAACTCTTTTGAAATTTCACTCTCCTATCGAGCGACTTTATATATATATATTATTCATTTGTTATGTCATCGTTATGAAAGTTGGTTCATTCACCGCTGTTGGAAATTGTTTCAGCAACTGTGCGCCATTTAATCTCTCGCGGTCCTTAATGTAATGCTACGAAAGTTTATCGACTACGACGTAAAAACTCCCCCTTTTTCCGTACTTTCATACACCAACTTTTATTCACAAATTCGCGGAAATTTCGTTCACCTGTAGACAGTCGATTCGATCGTTCTCGCGTTAACTTCCTCGTTACAGGTCATAGTCGATGGAAAGTAAAGAAAGGGTGCAAAGTGTACTTTATTAGACGGTCCAGTTTGAGGATTAATTGTATCCAGAAGCTCTC